CGCAGAGGAAGGCCGTGGAAAGCGGCTGCATGGCGCCACACGAGCTGAAAATTTTACATTTTGGTCCTTTTTGAAAACTTATTTTACAACTAGACCCCTGAAAAAACTTAAACCGGAAATGGTCCTTTTTGGGACGCCAGAGTGGCTGGCGCCGTACCCCAACATGGCGGCGCCAGCCACACTGGCGTCGTGCCTGTGCCACCGTGGCAATAGGGCTGTCGTGGAGGTGCTGACTAGGCCGAAAGGGGCGCCAGCCAGAGTGGCGCCGCCCCTCATACCACGGCGCCAGCATGGCTGGCACGCCCCTCCTCTGCGGGCCCCACCAACTTTCTCCTCCCCCTCAAAATTTTCGCTTCTGCCTCCAGGCAACGGCTGGCGCCCCCCCCCCCAGACCGCGGCGCCAGGGTGGCTGGTGCCCCCCTCCTCCTCCCATCGAAGCCCTTCTGCCTCCGGACCTCGGCTGGCGCCGCCCTCATGGACCACGGCGCCAGGGTAGTTGGCGCCGCCCTCCCCCCAGCCCGAAACCCTTCTGCCTCGCGGCACTGGCTGGCGCCGCCCTCCCCAACCGCGGCGCTAGGGTGGTTGGCGCCGCCCTCTGCCTCCCTGCAAATTGAAGATCCATATTGCACAAATGTACCAATTCACAGTTCGCAATTCAAATCACAATTCACAAATTCGTACGGACTAAAACAAGTTCCAATTGCACAAATCACAATGCCAAAAGTCCATCACATAGTCCTCACATAGTCCATCACATATTCCACACATCAAACAATGCCAAAAGTCCATCACATATTCCACACATCAAACAATGCCAAAAGTCCATCCTATATTCCACACATGAAACAATGTCAAAAGTCCATCACATAGTCCTCACATAGTCCATCACATTTTATATCACATAGTGCACCACATATGTCATACTACCAATAAATAGATTAACTTCATACAAATCACTTCTTCCGTTGGCGTCGAATAGCTTGCGAGCCCGGAGTGTACCTACATTTGAAAATCCAATGTTTAAAACATTTTAAAAACAAAATGAGGGAAATCAAATAACATTTGAGAATGGTAAGCTCATTTTACCTCTTTTTCGCTGCCCGAGTGGATCGCAAGTTGTATTGCGTGGGTTGCGTCCCCTGAGGCGCGTCGGGAAGCTGCGACATGTCTATCTCCTCAGCGTCTGGTGCGACGTAGTCCTCATCCTCGTCGTCGTCGTCGTCATCGTCATCGCTAGGTGGAGCCGGCGCCTTCCCCTTTCCCCTCCCTTGCGGAATGCGTGACGACGACGAGCCACCAACTTCTTCACGCTCTTCTGTCCTGATGGAGTGTCGAGCGGTACTTGGACGCGCGGAGTGAGGTAGTGGTGGTGGTAGTCTCCGCGGTTGGTACACGTCGTCCAATCCAACCGACTTGCAACCTAATCTTGCTGCAAGTTTCCGGCACCTTTGACGAACTTTCTGCATTTCAAAAAAAAAAAGAAGTTTGTTAGGCATAACTCAAGTAATGCAAAGTGCTAAATAAATTTTACCTCTAAAACATTGCGGAGTGTGTTCTCCGTGTCCTCACCACCCCTCGGAGCTTGGAGGGCATGCCCCATTTCATTCACACTCCTGAGGAGCTCTCTCGACTGAAAGCGTGAGAAGATATATGTTAGGGTCTAGGGTGCAAATGGAAATAACTTTGACAAATGCAAGAAAACTTACGACTCTGTCTCTAAGTGGGGCGTGCTCCATTTGATATCCAACTCTAGTCCGGATATCATAGGGATTCCGTCCCTCATCGAAGTCGCGGTCATCCTCTATGTCGGCTTCCGTCCAAGTAGGGCGGAGGAACAATCTATATGTCCTATGCAGCCAACGAAGGTACTCTGAGAAAAGATGATTTTGGTGTATAGTCTCGATGTACCTGTCGTTCCTTTCGGCTGTCCTCCATTCATCAATGTATCTATTATGCTCTAGCCCCCAGTCTTTCACCTTCTTTGTTCTCACCCTGTCATACCTAGACAAGTAGAAGGTGATGAAACAATAGTGAGCATCGACAAGGGTTAAATGGTACAAAATTGAACATTGACAATGAAAGCAAACAAAGATAAGAAATATTTACTTGTGTAATTCAACTCCAGTTGAGATGTCCTCAACCGGCCAGTCTTGTTTCTTCCCGAACTGTCGCATGACACGGTGCGGAAGGTGGTACTCAACTGCCCAGAAACAAATCAGAGCTGTCCGGCTTCCTCCCAAACACCTTCTCAAACGCACGACATTCCTCTAATGCTAACTTGTCATTATTAGTAAGTGGAGGGAATGGACGGTCATCATCAGAGTCTTCAGCAAATTCAATATCATATTGCTCAACACTTGCCTCCTCGTCAACATCATTTCTATTGACTTCTACTGAGACAGAATCGTGACCACCACTCAATTCGACATCAAAGTAATCATCTGGATTCACATATTGGCCTGCTACTTCTGTCGGGTATTCAGGGTTGACTCCGTACGATGACCAATGAACACTCGCCGACAAATGTTCACTTAGATCAAGCCCCTCTTGTACTAACTCCCTTTTCATCTCCCTCGCTGCATCCACATCATCACTACCGCAATGTCTCTTTGATGGTCCTGCCTCCCATAAATCATTTCCAAGCAAAGGTCTCTTCTTCTCTCCTTCCCCCTCCAAGTCTTCTCGTACCAACTCAGTCTTACTTGCACCCCCTCCACGACGAGAATAATATGTCACAAAATTCTTCTCAACGTAATGATAAGAAGGAGATTTGTTTAGATCCAAATTTTCTACGGTACGAACTAACTTTGATGCTAACACCTCTAGAGATCTAAACTGAGACTCTTTTACCAAATCAAAGTAAACTTCCCATTCCAACTGACCTATCACATTTAATATATACTTATGCCCTTGACCAACATCGTATCTCCCATAAAAACGAATCTCCACATTATCCTCGGTCCATCCAAGAACTTCTTTCACTCGTGACCTTAGTTCATCTAGAGTTGGGTAGGTGGGAAACAAAATGGTCTTCAATGACATATCCTCAAACTCAACATGTGCACCAACATAAGGTTCCACCACTCTACCACCGTAGTAAACACGAACAAGTCTATCCATCTACACCAAAAAATCAAATGTAACTTTGCAACAAAAATTAAATCTTCATTCCTAAACGTAGTCCAAACCGACATATTATAACCAATGCATAACTTAAATTGTCCCAAAGCTACTACTCCAAAAAAATATTTAATCCACCTACAACTATCAACAAGTTTACTAGTGCATTACACATCGAAATATTACAAATACTCCGTCATACAACCCAACCTAGTTCTAGTTAACTATAATCAATTTATATAATGCAACCAAAATTTTCTCACATTCATATAATTAATGGTTAAAAGTTTAACCTATAGACTATAGCATCAAGTCCATCAAATTAAAATTACTTTCATGCCTCAACCATAATTTTTCATCCATCCATCCAACCAAACCATCCAAAAATTAACATTACCACATATATGGTTAAAAAAATCGTGACACCAATAAGTACATTGCAAACATGTAGCACTACAACAAGCCAATCCTAAGAACAAATGCTAAAAATCACAAATTTGGGTAAAAAAGGGGTTCTAGGGTTACCCACCGATCTACAAATTCAACCACTAAAAACAAAAAAAAAGAGGGGTGAATGAAAGAGTCTACCTTTCTCTTCGATTTCCACAAAAAATCTCGCGAAAAACGAGTTCAAATGGAGTGGATTTGAGGTGGGGAGGTGAGGGGGAGAGCTGCTGCTGCTCAGCTCGGGCTGGTGCTTGGGCGAAAATGGGAGTGGGGAGGAGATAGGTGGTGGGGCCCACGGGGTTTAAGGGGTCGGCCCACAGAGGAGGGGCGCGCCAGCCATGCTGGCGCCGTGGTAGGAGGGGCAGCGCCAGTGTGGCTGGCGCCCCCATTCTGCCCAGTCAGCACCTCTACGACAGCCCTAGTGCCACGGTGGCACGGGCACGGCGCCAGTGTGGCTGGCGCCGCCATGTTGGGGTACAGCGCCAGCCACTCTGGCGCCCAAAAAGGACCATTTCCGGTTTAAGTTTTCCCAGGGGTCTATTTGTAAAATAAGTTTTTAAAAAGGACCAAAATGTAAAAATTTCAGCCACACGAGGGGCTAATGAAGAACTTGACAGGAGGAGCTAGCCAACGTATGGGAGGAAAGACGGCGACCGCGCCGCCACCTGCCACCCTGCCGTTGATGCCTCCTCCCATCATCTCTCCCCATGCCACTTCCTACCGCTCTCTGCCACTGGTACCTCTGCGCGCACAGGGCAAAGGTGGATGTTGGCCACCCAGGCTAAAGCCGATGACTAGGGGGCAATGGTAGCTTGCCTCTGACTCCTCCCACACAGTTCACCTCCAATGCTTCTTCGAAACGATCAAACGAATACGAGCGACACATCGGCCGACGTTACATCCTCGCCTTCCTCCCCACCCACGCCCGGTCTTCGCGTGGGAGATAGAAAGGAGAGTAGAACCCACTGACATGTGGGTCCTACTACTTTTTTATTTTTATTTATTCCTGACACATGAGCTTAAATATTTTGTTTCAACTTTTTTTTTTTAGTCTTCCTTCTAGTGACTCGTCAAGGCATATTAGACAACAACTAATTCAAACTAGTCATGTAGGCGTCACGTCAGCAAAAATTGCCATTCAAATCCTATGAGAATTATTTTTATACTGGTTTTGATAGTTGGGAGACATGTTATATTTAGTATTGTGGTTTATGGTCGTGATTCAAACTCCGCGTAAAGACGAGACCTGGACTGAACTTATTCTTTTATGCTAGGCCGTCGGTGTGGTCCGTATCGATGACTGTACAGCCTGTTTTTATTGGGCCGGAACATGATGGTGACAGAAGTGCGGCCCATTATGGTATATCATCAGGTTCAATAATTAACTCCATCAGAGAGAGAAGCTCAGAGCTCATTGCAAGTACAAATGTCGATGAAGAAAAAAAAACATTTGTATGTAGTAACTTGTATTTAATAAGGAAGTACATTATATATACCTTTCTGGGCGATCAACCTCCCATGCACTGATGCACAAATATATCCCGGACTCAACTACAACACTTTTTCTTTCTTTTTGCTAATCTCCAAGACCAAGACGCCTATATATGCCGCTGCGAGAAATATTGATAAAAACATACGCACTGCATGCTCTCCCCATTCTCCCCATGACCAGTGTACATACAGACACCATGTACGCTAGTACACACGTATACGTACATGAAAAGGCAGAGTGTGCGCAGTACATGCAGTACGTGTCGTTGTAGCCTTGCACGCTCGCCTGCAGCCAGAAGCAGCCTACAAACCTAGCGCGGCCGGCCGGCGCGGCACGTGTGCGTCCACGCCATCGATCAGTTTTCTTTGATGGTGGCAGCCAGGTCGAGGCAGTTGCTGACGAGGCGGTTGACGTGGCGCTGCGCCCCGGGTATGGGCGACGTGAGGTCCGGGAACTCGTCGAAGGCTTCCCCGCAGTCGGTGGAGAAGGTGGAGGCGGACGACAGCTCGGTCATCAGGTCGTCGTGGCTGCCGCCGCTCTTGATCGTGTCGCGCGCCTTCTGCAGCGCGTCGGCCAGCGACGAGTAGGCGCCCTTGCACGTGTCGAGCGTCGACGACATGCTCGTGCCTTCGGCCTTCACCGCGCGCGACTTCATCACGTCGGCCAGCCGCTTCTCCGCCATCATGGCCTTGGACTCCGCCACCCGCAACGCCGCGTCCAGCAGCTGCTGCGGCGTCATCACCCCCGGCAGCGTCGTCAGCGTGCCGCACAGCGCCTTGTAGTGCACCTGCATCATATGTCATGCCAATGCACGCACGCATATATAAATGGCATGCGGGTTAATTTCGATGCGTCGTGCGTACCTATGTCGGTGTAGTGTGTGTAGTAGTGCTCACTGGTCGATCCTTAATTAGCTATACCTCTTGGCATATGGCGGCATTGCCGCCGAGCCCGATCAGGCGACGGCTGGGCTTGGCGGCGGTTCTGATGACGACGTGGTACGGGCCGGTGTGGACAGGACGGGCATCGACGACGCCGGAGCTTGTGGACGCCGCCAAGACGACGGCGGACAGGATCAGGGCGGCGAGGTGTCGGAACATTGGTCGTCGGTCGTGGAATGAAAAAGGATAATACGTGATCCAAATAAGAGAGATGTAGAAAGTAGCTACCGAAAAGAAAAATACAAAAAACAAGTTCCTTTGGTGTCTGAGAAGGAAACAGATCAAATGGTGGTGGTAAAAGAAGACGTACGGGACTTGACGGCCGTCGATCCAAAAATGGCGTAAATTTTTGCGGTTTGGTCGTGGATGGCTAGCCATGATCGTAGGGATCTCTACGGCCTTAAAATGGCCTCGGCGTGTTTAGTGGTGTGCTAAGCATTACAGTTTTCTCCTAAAAAAGTTATGTCCCTAATTAATTTCGGTATTATCTTGTTTATTTATGTGCTACGGACAAATGGCTACCGGAGAATGAACAGGTAGCACTGTAGCGCAGACATTTGCGAGAAGTATGTCCCCACTACATCCAAACTCAATCCAATTAACCATCGACCAATTTAACCAAGGCAATGCAAACTTTTGTTTAGCTCAAAATTGATCCTGACTATCACTGCGCATTCAAAGTTTGATGAGGAGATTACAGGCGTACATGTGCTACTTAAGTAAGTAAACAGCCACCTATATATATTTAAGATATCGAAGTTACAGGAACCAGCAAGCCAGAGGCGCCCATTGGATACCCAAGTAAACTCAAGCCAAGCCATGAATCAATAATATCAAATCTAAGTCGTCTCAACCGATGGCTGGTAGTTCAATAGTGCAGAAACGGTATCTTGAATCTTTGTTGGTCAGAGCAAGCTGGGACAGCATGAGATCGCAGGCTAAACTAATCACAATACGTCATTTTTATCTTAACTAATCACCATGACTTAATGATGATGCAACAGAGAGCTAGTGATTGGTGAGAGGAGCTCTAGCTGCGGCTGGGATATCCGAGTTGCCACATTCACCTGCTGGGGTCACCGCTAAGCTGGAGTTGAAGGACACGGCCATCCCTATCAGGTCAATAAAGTAACTGCCAATTGGATGCCAACCTACGGCGAGGTTGACAATTTGGGGGATAGCAAGTTGGCATCTTGCTTAGCAAGTTCATACGAGCTGCAGGAAATGTCCGGCCGGAACCAATAATTTCAGTCCAATGTATACTAGTCACGAAACGTAACTGAAGGGATATCCGTCTTATCTGCAATTCTTGCACAAATCCTAATCATATCAGCGTGAAATGTTGAAACTAGTAGTCTACTAGTACAAGATGCATATACTGGCCCGGATATTGAATCGATCGCCCCTGACATCCATGTCCTTCATCTTCATGAATGATCTAATTGTCAGGTTTTCAAATTTCAGAAAATCCCTTGCATCGTCTGTGTTCCGTACAAACCATGGATCCGGATGTGCTCTAAATATATAAGTACCCCAAATGTATCTCACATTTAACTATGCAGAGACTTTTGGTAGCAGCAAAAAGCCGAGGAGATGACGCGAGATACCAAAGTCAGAGGAAGAATCTTGCAACGATCTGCGGAACAGCCGCAGTCCGCGGAGGGGTTGCACAAGCATCTGTATATTATAATGGTGGTTATTGTTAGTTGCTACACGTACAGAAGATTAAAAGAGCCACATGATATCGTGTTTTGTGGGATCAACTTGTTTCCCAGCCTTTAGCTCAAGAGCTTCCGACCAAAGTTTATTACAGTAATTCAGCTTTCAAGCTGAGACGTCACACATATATCCAGAGCAAACTCCATTGCTCAAGTCAATGCCATCCACATCCAGAGAATGCAAACTTTATAGGCCGTCACAAGAATTTTGGTTAACTTGGTAACCCGGAATTTAAGTTTGGGCTTTTTGGTAGATGTCCACTAATTAACAGTGATTGAGCAAGGGTTCCAAAAAAGAAAAAGAAAAAGAAAACACTAGCTGGGGTTAGCTCTTACATTTCGATCCTCTTGCTAGCTACTTACTATACATCTTATGCTTCGTGTCTATATCTTCACCATTTTATAGAGTGCACAAGTTTTGACATGTTATCGTGTCGCTCTGTTGCCAGGAATTGCTTGGGGCCAGGCCGGCCGGCCAGCTCAAGGAAACTTTTCGTCCAAATTGAAATGTTCATACTTATTCAAAAATGAATTTGTCTCAAAATAAATATGCATATGTATCTTCAATTTGTCATCAACTCTGATGAAATTAATCTTGCCCTTTTCAGAGCATGAGAAGCCATGGTTAAGGTAGGGGAAAAACATTTCGCAAGTGTACAAATGCAGCGTTCAATTTCTGGTTATTTTCATCACCTACTTGTCTGGTTGCACCTTGGTACCTACTAGCATAATCATAAGTAGTTTTGAAAGCTAAATTCTGAATGTTTCTAGTTGTTGGCCGTTTCTTCCAACCACAAACGTTGTTTCCTATCCGTACTAAAGCAGGATCTCCAGCCATTACAGAGGAATATTTTTCGCGTGGAACAAATTCCTGAGGAATATTAGTTATTCTGTTCTCTCTTCCAAATCATATGATTGTGTCCTTTGGCTGCGCAATCCTAGCTGAGGTATGTGCATGATGCCACACTTTCAGCCTCATCTTTTCGCTTATACTTATATTTATAAGCCAAAATTAAAATTTTCAACTTTAAATTTAAAGTTGATTTGGAGTTTTTTCATCGAAGTTTATTTTTCAGTCTTTACTTTTAGATCATTAAAAACACATATGTAAAAATTTTATCTACAAATTATTTTTCGTTTGCAAATATACCGTGAGATTTGATGCTTTCAAATGCAGTAATATATTGGCATGCAAATCGTTTGCGATCGTGATGTCCTTCTCCTTCCACTTGCACAACTGATCCCTTTTTTAACATGTCCTATGCATGCGCAAAGCTGTTTTCTAGCAAACCAGCGGCTATAACTGGTTGACATTCAGAAAAACAAGGACAAGTAGTACACTGTATCCTATTTTTTATAAAAAAAAATACTGAGCAGTACTCCCTATGTAAAAAAAATCAACTTTTGCAGTTTAAATTTTGTAAAAAAAAACCAACTTCTACCATCCCACCTACTCTCAACACATAAAACGAGAAGTTTTATTTCTTAAATACCTTTTACTTACTTATCACCGTTACTACTTTTTCAATAATAATAAGGATTTTGATTATTTTTACTTCTCACTCAAATTATCTTGAGATGTTAGGAGTGTTCTTTTTATGGGATGGAGGAAGTAGGCAACTAGGCATACTGTTAATATAGATATGAAAAGATACAGGCCGTTCACTGCACTAGGCATACAAGAACACATAAAACAGCTCGTCTCAAAGTATAATTGTGTTAAACGTGAGCTGATCTCACCGTTCCAAAATTAAAATGACCACAAAGTCACCAACATGTTAGTGTTGCATAGTTTAGTTATCCGTACAGTACTCGCCAATCAGAGGTTATCATGTCGTAGCACTATTGTCAACTAGACTGGAGAAGGAGAAGAGCTAACGGCAAGTACTATAGTTATTTAAGCACAATCTCCTAGATGCCATCTAATTTTAAATGATGATGTGGAGAAGAGAGTAGATGAGAGAGAGGATGAGCCATCCCTCATACAAGGGACAACCTCTTTACAAACTTTAAGGAGGAAGGAGAAAAGAGTGAGGTTGATTGGATGAGAGTGAATAAAATAAATATTTATGTTGCATTGAGACTATTATATGAGCTGTCCTTAATAAATTAGTTGATGATATGGACAATATTAGATGTGATAGTCATCTCTGCCATAAAACTTGCCATAATAGTTGGAGACTTGGTGGCATTCCGGGGGAACCCAATCCAAATCCGCGACGAATTCCTCTCCGCCAATACAGTATTCGTGTGTGCCGAGGAGGGAGGCAGTTCCACAGGCCAAGGAACTTACGTGACCTCCAAAGTCAGAGGTCGGAATCTCCCTTCGTTCCAGCCATGGCCCACCACCCTTGCGGCTTGGTGACCCTACTGCGCCGCCAAGTCACCCGCTCGCCAACAAAAACCCGCGACGCGAGCGCGGAGACGGCAGCGCCGGCCTCCCACCGGTCGCGTAAGATCACGCCCGAAATCTTTATTCATTTTCTCTCCACCGGTTGCCCTCTCGCCGCACCCAACCATCGCGCCACGCCGCGCCGCGCTGCCGGAGCCGCGCTTTCCGCTATGCTATAAGAGCTGACGCGCAGGGCACAGCGGATGTACGTACACACAGTCACTAGCTAAGCTGCTAGCCTTGCTACCACGTGTTGGAGATGGAGGCTAAGCCGGTGGCGATGGAGGTGGAGGGGGTCGAGGCGGCGGGGGGCAAGCCGCGGTTCAGGATGCCGGTGGACTCCGACCTCAAGGCGACGGAGTTCTGGCTCTTCTCCTTCGCGAGGCCACACATGGCCTCCTTCCACATGGCGTGGTTCTCCTTCTTCTGCTGCTTCGTGTCCACGTTCGCCGCGCCGCCGCTGCTGCCGCTCATCCGCGACACCCTCGGGCTCACGGCCACGGACATCGGCAACGCCGGGATCGCGTCCGTGTCGGGCGCCGTGTTCGCGCGTCTGGCCATGGGCACGGCGTGCGACCTGGTCGGGCCCAGGCTGGCCTCCGCGTCTCTGATCCTCCTCACCACACCGGCGGTGTACTGCTCCTCCATCATCCAGTCCCCGTCGGGGTACCTCCTCGTGCGCTTCTTCACGGGCATCTCGCTGGCGTCGTTCGTGTCGGCGCAGTTCTGGATGAGCTCCATGTTCTCGGCCCCCAAAGTGGGGCTGGCCAACGGCGTGGCCGGCGGCTGGGGCAACCTCGGCGGCGGCGCCGTCCAGCTGCTCATGCCGCTCGTGTACGAGGCCATCCACAAGATCGGTAGCACGCCGTTCACGGCGTGGCGCATCGCCTTCTTCATCCCGGGCCTGATGCAGACGTTCTCGGCCATCGCCGTGCTGGCGTTCGGGCAGGACATGCCCGGCGGCAACTACGGGAAGCTCCACAAGACTGGCGACATGCACAAGGACAGCTTCGGCAACGTGCTGCGCCACGCCCTCACCAACTACCGCGGCTGGATCCTGGCGCTCACCTACGGCTACAGCTTCGGCGTCGAGCTCACCATCGACAACGTCGTGCACCAGTACTTCTACGACCGCTTCGACGTCAACCTCCAGACCGCCGGGCTCATCGCCGCCAGCTTCGGGATGGCCAACATCATCTCCCGCCCCGGCGGCGGGCTACTCTCCGACTGGCTCTCCAGCCGGTACGGCATGCGCGGCAGGCTGTGGGGGCTGTGGACTGTGCAGACCATCGGCGGCGTCCTCTGCGTGGTGCTCGGAATCGTCGACTTCTCCTTCGCCGCGTCCGTCGCCGTGATGGTGCTCTTCTCCTTCTTCGTCCAGGCCGCGTGCGGGCTCACCTTCGGCATCGTGCCGTTCGTGTCGCGGAGGTCGCTGGGGCTCATCTCCGGGATGACCGGCGGCGGGGGCAACGTGGGCGCCGTGCTGACGCAGTACATCTTCTTCCACGGCACAAAGTACAAGACGGAGACCGGGATCAAGTACATGGGGCTCATGATCATCGCGTGCACGCTGCCCGTCATGCTCATCTACTTCCCGCAGTGGGGCGGCATGCTCGTAGGCCCGAGGAAGGGGGCCACGGCGGAGGAGTACTACAGCCGGGAGTGGTCGGATCACGAGCGCGAGAAGGGTTTCAACGCGGCCAGCGTGCGGTTCGCGGAGAACAGCGTGCGCGAGGGCGGGAGGTCGTCGGCGAATGGCGGACAGCCCAGGCACACCGTCCCCGTCGACGCGTCGCCGGCCGGGGTGTGAAGAATGCCACGGACAATAAGGTCGCGGTTGTAGTACAACTGTACAAATTGATGGTACGTGTCGTTTGACCGCGCGCGCGCACAGTGTGGGTCGTGGCCTCGTGGGCTTAGTGGAGTACAGTGAGGGGTGTACGTGTGTCGTGGCGCGCGCGGTCACCTCGGTGGCCTTGGGATTGGGGGGGCACTATACGCTAGTACTCCAGATATATACGGGTTTGATTTACTTCTGTGGATCGGCGCTTGTTGGTGGTTTGCTCCCTGTGGTTTTTGTGATGGTAATCATACTCATACTCAAACAGTCAAAACTTTTTGATGTGATATGTTGGTATCAGTGTTTCTATTGCTAAAGTCGTTGATTCGCTGGGAACAGTGGCTCGAAATGTGAAAGTGCTCCGGCTTTATGAGCTGCAGATTCTTTCGAAGTCTGAAGAACAGTGTCAAGCTTCAGCTTTTGTTCGGTCAAAATAGGACTATCATTATACCAAATTAAAGTATTGGACAAAACGTCATCTAAATGACCATTAGAGAGGCATTTGATTTAGTTGAGTAGTATAAAATAACTAGCGCGACTTCATTCTCGCGGCATAGTTGAGGTGATATTTTGGCGACGGACAATCCCCCTCCTCACACTCGACGTACATAGCATGCCCTACTCAGTAGTCAGTCAACACCCTGCAACTGTTGTCGCTCAAAAAACCGCGTACAAAATTTGAATATCTATGAAATCCATGGTAAAGTTTGAATATATACACAAAGTTTAGAATCTACGGATCTGTGCCAGTTTCAAAATATGAGCATTATCAAAACAAACCCGTGTGCAAATAGACCTCACATGAACGTGCAAGGGAATAGTAGATTAGTAGGATAGTATGTCCGTCAACCAATACTCAATTATTTTTCTTCTTTGTATTTCAGTCTATTGTAGTACAGTACGGAGTAATTTGTAAAACTCCAGTACGCACACTCTCTCATTTTTGAGAGAGAGACGAAGGTCTCTTCTAAGCTGCCATACGGCCCATACACACGCGAAAGACCGATAATCAGAGCCCACCAAACCATGGAATAGCAGCCCAAGTGTAGCGCAGCCACCATTTGCGTTCCACACGGCCTACCCCATCGCGCGGTGCAAACTTGGCCCAGAAACACCGAGCACGATGCCACCGTGCGCGTGTGCCGTGCCTGCCGTGTGCGTGTGAGGCGGTGAGCGCAAGTGTGGGAAGCGAAGCGAGGCGAGCAAACCGCGAGTCGAGTCCGCGACGACGTTCGCGCACCAACCGGCCACACCGCACTTGTCCCGTGCCTGCGTTGCGTTGCGCCCGTCCGCCTCCCCAGGCCACCATCGCTGCCCTCCCGGCCTCCCCTCCCTCCCCGACTCCCCACACCAGCCGCCCGCCCGCCCGGCCACTGGCCGCTGCTACAGATAACGCCACGCCGGGAGAGACAGCCCGCGCCCATGGCCGCCGTCGCGAGCCCCGCCCTCCGGCTCAGGCCCCGCCCCCGGACCGCCGCGCCGTCGCCTCCTCGCTGCCGCCTCAGCTCCTCCGCTTACTCGTATTCCAAGGCAAGTAGGTCCCCTAGCCAATTTATAGAATTTCACGCGGTGGTTGTCTTGCTTGCCTGGGTTGGGTTGGGGATTAGGCAGGGTTTTAATTGGCCGCCGGTAGAATTTCCCGTGAGTGGTTGTGTATATCCCGGTCGAAAAGAAAGGCATAATAAAAATCTACCCTGCGTGTGGTGGCATCATGCAGTGAGGCTGTGTCATCCGAGTCGCCCACAGAGGGGATACATAATACATTAATGGCAGATAATTTCAGGGATACTGCAGTACTGCACTTGAAATTGCTAAGAATGGTCACAGTAACTAGTGCCTACTCCATATACTTTTGGTTTTGAAAGATCACTATCACTCCATATACGTCTGCTATTCTGTATGCTGTGACCACTAAGAGATGGTGAATTGTCTGATGTAGCTTTAGTAACATAGCAGTAACACGGATTATCTCTCAGTTTGCAAGGTCATTGCCAATTCAGAGAGTAAATGGGGGTAGAATGCAGCACTTGGACGCCCTAAAAGGTTTTCCCCCCTTGGACCATCTACTTTCCATAAAACTCTATTGAATTTGAGCTGCTGTGTTTGTGCTTAGTTTTTCTACATGCTAAACAGGGCATGCTTTAAGAAGATACGGCAACCACGATGGAAGGTTTCATATCAAGCGAATTACTTCCTTCGCTGCTATGGACAAACAGGAGTCAATTACTTCACCTACCACAGATGCGTTGCCGGTAGAAGAGACCGATAATAGCACTGAGGATTCCCCTGCGTCTGGTAGCTCCTCCTATTTTACTGAGAGGGGTAATGGAAAATCAGGGTTCATCTCATTTCAAGGCAGTAGTTATCAGATGAAAAGTGTGGAGAGTGTGCCACATCCTGGCAAGGAAGCGTCTAGATTAGTTTGGTTTGTTGGTCCAACTATCCTTGTGGCCTTCTTGGTTCTTCCATCGCTTTACTTGCGCAAAGTACTCTCAGCTGTGTTTGAGGATTCCTTGTTGACAGGTATGCTTTCTTTGATACTTCAATAGTTGACGGAAACAAGATAATTGTGTTGGTTAGCACTAGCATATCCCATGTGTCTGTATTTGCACTACTCTAGAGAAGGAATATGACTAATTAGTGCTTGATTGACAATAGGTTATTCTACATTAAATTTATATTTTTCTATTCAAACATATCTCATAACAGTTCCATTTTTTGTTTAAACTGAACCCTATGTGCAGCATTCTTTAGTTAAAGATTTTTATGTATATACTAATACTCTTAAATCTTAAGACACTAGATGTCCCTGATTCCCATTCCACATTTGGATGAAGCCTAAGCATGGCAGCATAACCTGATGGTTTTTCATAATTGCTTACAGATTTTCTTATACTATTCTTTACCGAGGCTCTATTTTATGGAGGAGTCGCAATTTTTGTCCTGTTGATTGATAAAGTCTGGAGGCCTTTGCAGCAAGTAGCTCCTAAGAGTTATATCTGGTCAAAATCCAGATTTTTCCGTATTTCTTCAGTAACAACGATGGTTTTGAGCTTGATGATACCGCTTTTGACCATGGGAATGGTCTGGCCCTGGACTGGACCAGCAGCTTCAGCTACTCTTGCCCCTTATCTGGTTGGTCTTGTTGTACAATTCGCATTCGAGCAGTATGCACGGCATCGGAAATCACCTTCTTGGCCAGTTATCCCTATCATCTTTAAGGTAACCTGGTGCTTATATTTATCCTGGTGCTATTGGATCCTGAAACAAAAGCTTAATCCATTGTGCTTTCCTTATAATCAAGTGTGCACTGGTGTGATTTCAGTCTGCCCAAACTATATGTTGCAGTGTGTTAAATCACAAAAAATCCGATTACATAGGCATATATAGAAGCAGGCATCAGATCTTTTTACACGTTACAATTGACACTCTTTTATTTGTATCAGCTTTATTTTTTGTCCATTGTATCTCCAGATGCAGAGTTGCAGACCATCTATTTTGCTCTTGTTCATTCAAACGAACCAGGAGGTTGCTTCACAATTTTTAAAGAAATTTTTTGTGATTATTTCTGGAACGAAGCTCACTATACGGTTAATTAAATATCAGTTGATATTGTTTGTCTCACGAGCGTCTTGAAGATGCCTGAGTGAATCGCTTAAGAGGCACAGTAAAAGCAGATAATGAACAATTAGATATCTGTTGATGTTATTTGTCTCGTGAACTGCTCCATTTCTAAGCATATGTCATTTACTCTTTTCCTCGTCTTTGCAGATCTACAGGCTTCACCAACTGAACAGGGCAGCTCAGCTGGTGACAGCACTCACCTTTTCTGTTAGAGGAACAGAGGCAACAAACCAAACCTTGGCTATCATGAACTCCTTAGGAGCATTATTGACTGTCCTCCAGATTCTTGGGGTTATCTGCGTATGGTCTCTATCGAGTTTCCTAATGAGGTTTCTTCCCTCTTCAGACATTCCAGACCCTTAACTTCTATCAGCTGAGGTAGCACTTAAAATTATGTGTACAGTCTCCATATTGTAAATCAATTTACCTGGAGCCAGTTGCCCAGTTGATAATGTCTGCAAAGTTTACTGTTGGTCTAGGGATTAAACCGTGTGCATCGTCATTTGGGGAACTACAGTGAAACTAACTGGTAGGAACTACAGTGAAACTAAACTGCAAGAGAGATGAACTGCCCGCACTGTACAAGTAGGGGCGTAGGGCTAGCGTGTTAACGTGTTCTTGTGGATCAAATTCTGGGATTCCACAAGCCAGTTGGTAAACCTTGAGTACTAGATTGAGGCTGTGTATACTTCTACGTCAAAATTAGAAGTTTGAAGAAATTAGAACGATATGATGGAAAAGTTGTAAGTTTGTGTTTGTAGGAAAGTTGGATGTGGTGGAAAAGTTAGAAATTTGAAGAAAAAAAGTTAGAATCTAAGGGCCCGTTTAGTTCCCAATAAGTTTTTCCCAAAAACATCACATCGAATCTTTAGACACATGCATCGAGTATTAAATATAAATAAAAAGAAAAACTAATTGCATAGTTATGGAGGAAATAGCGAGACGAATCTTTTGAGCCTAATTAGTCCATGATTAGCCATAAGTGCTAAAGTAACCCACATGTGCTAATGATGGCATAATTAGGCTCAAAAGAATCGTCTCGCAGTTTTCCGGCGAGTTCTGAAAATTAGTTCTTTTATTCGTGTCCGAAAATCCCTTCCAACATCCGGTCAAACGTCTGATGTGACATTTAAAAATTTTCTTTTCCCAAACTAAACACGCCCTAAATAGGGCCTGGTTTGTGAAAATGCATTTATGCTCCACCAAAGGACGTGCAGAGCAAATGGTGCAAATAGAAAAGTATAGGCTCAGTCAGCATGTTGTAGCCTTTTCCTGCTGTCCTTTCTCTTTGGAGAACTTCCTGTTTATGTAAACTTTACAGCCCTCGATTACGGCTGTGTTTAGTTGCGTGCGTCAATTTTTTTTAATTACATGGACACATATTTTTGAAGTATTAAACGTAGACTAATAACAAAATAAATTACAGATTCCGCCTGTAAACTGCGAGACGAATCTATTAAGCCTAATTAATCTGTCATTAGCAAATATTTATTGTAACATTGCATTGTCAAATCATGACGTAATTAGGCTCAAAAGATTCGTCTCGCGATTTACATGTAAACTGTGCAATTTTTTTTTCATATTTAATGCTCCACGTATGTATTCAAATATTCGATGTGATGGAAAAGTTGAAAGTTTGAAGAAAATTTAAATGTAAACACGGCCAAGGTGCAGCCGCCTTTTTGTCACAATTTGCTTATTCTGACAGAGTCAAACGTTTTTAGTTTATCGAGTGGGGGAGGTTCATTGAAGATTTGGATCTTGGGACAGAGATTGAAAAGGCATATTCTGCGCGAATATGCTCTATTGCTCTGGGACTCGGGGATTTGGTACCCTTTGTATAGATCTAATTAGCCTAGACGCAAGCAAGATTTTCATTAGTTGTATGTAACTTATAAAGCGATTTGGAAATATGTGGCTGCTATGCTGGCTTCCCTATTGACAACTGCGGAACAGCAGTTTATGCAAATCAATATCTCCTTGCAAGCGTATGAAATTTTTTTCCTTATGAAGTTTGGTCATCAAACCCTTGCTACATGTTATTAGCAAGTTAGTAGTATCACGCAAAATTACATGTTCCTTTTTTATTAGTACTAGTATTTGAATGATTGAATAGTTCCAGACGAGGGACCATGTCATTTGTCAAAGCTGCACTGTGCCACAGTTTTACTTCCACTGATGTACGAACATTACCTCAGATCCAGTTTTCCTGACCTCTGACTGAATTTCAGATATAAAGATAAGTACTTTTTTTTTTTGGACGGAAGGAGTAGAGATAAACCATCCTTCACGAGAAAAGCAGGGAAAACTCAAAAGATGGCAGAAAGGTTTCTTTTTTCATCAGATCTCAGAAGTGATACTCCTATGAAAGACAGAAATTGAAGGGATGCAAGACAAGATGTGCGCTTGCTCCATTGGGAGGACTGGAAACAGATGAACTCCAATCCTCCACGATGGAAATGAGGCAAAGCACTTGCCACTAATGTTTTAACACACGTAGCCCATCCTTCTGTGCAAAAGGTGGCCGGGCTGCCCAAAGGAGATTTGTCGCAGCCGGATTGGAAGATTTTGCACCAGAATACACAAGCACAACAAGATCTCACCGTGAAACAGCAAAAATCATGATAAATCTAGCTTAATAAAAATCAAAAGAAAAACAAAACAGAAGAGCCACAAGAAAGGAGAGCAAACTCAAGTAAAATAGAAGCCAGGAGCCACAAATCTAGAGCTTTGACCTGTTTCTCACTAAGAACTGCAGGACGATACCAAGATGAATGCTACCACCCATAGCTGAAAATGACCAAGCAGAGGGGATGTGGTGAAGACCCCCGGCTTGTGCTCTGCTTATATAGGGAGGCTGAGGCAACGGTTGCTCTTTGCATTGCGGCGCTAGGGTTCCAAGCAGGTCCGCAGGTTGGCCCTGGGCAGCGCCCAACTCGGCAACTTGCCTGAAAAAAAGAAGGAAATGCAAGTTGCTTTTGCTGGGCCCTGTCCTCAACGTTAATGGGCCGCACTGGCCCACACCCCACTACACAAAGGGCTTAGTCTGGGCCTATTACCCACAATGGCAGCGCCATAAGGAATAAGTTCGTTTCAGGTCTCTTAACTTGACAAGGAGTTCAATTTTCATCCTAGAACCATAATATCAGATACAACGGGTCCTTTAACCGTCAAAACAAATGAAATATTTGTCCCAAGCGATTTCAGCTAACGTGTCGTCCATGTGACTAATTTGACTTGGTCTTCATTCATCTGACGTGGTACATGAAGTAAAATTTAAAAATTTAAACATTAAAACAAAAATTGTGGACCTAACAATATGTGTTAGTGAAACAATAAGATTAAAAAATAGTGAGACCACATGTCAGTGGGCCCACTCCCTCACCATAATCCTCTCTCTTCTCTATATCCACCCCTTCTACTTCTCCCCTCCTCCTCCAAAGCGACGGAGGAGGCAGCCATGGCGTCCTTGTGTGCTTCCGGCACACGACACGGAAGCGGCGCCCTAGGGTGCCGTGTGGCGCGGTCGATGCGTGGCGGCATGGGGAGCAGCGCATCGGCTACGACTGTTGCGGTGGCGGCAACATAACCAGTGGGAGTGAGGTGGCGGCGGCGATTGCAGTGGTGGGTGTAGCACAAGCCCGCGGCGGGAGGAGGCAAGCTCATCGAACTCGATGGTCCCGTTGTCGTCAGCATCCATATCAGTGATGAGGGTGTGGATATCGTTCCCAGCGGCCAGGCGGAGGCCGAGCAAGTGGAGGAGCGTAGTTTGATAGGGCCTGGATCTGGAACGCAGAGCTCGATCCTGAAGCGCTCGATCCGCTTCCTTTCTTGACCGGTGAGGAGCTAAGTGATGGCACGGTAGATCGCCACCCTGCTGCGATGCAACGATTACCACACCGACCACAAGTCCATACCATTTCTTAGTTGAGTCCTTCGACACATTGGAAGCGCCCGCTGCTAATGGTGCGTCGACAAGGGGAGGAGAGGAAGTCGTCGACGTGGGGGAAGGGTTCGGTACGGCGGTACAGTAGTCGGACGACTCCTTTCAATGGTTGTCGGCAGCGGCGCCCTAGGTGTTGGCCTCCATGTGCTTGAAGTTGTCGCCAGGGGAGGCGGAGGCATAGAGGGAGGACTTGGCATCGCGGTAGGCGTCAGGTAATGGGGAGCGCAGAGGCGTGGCCATACATGTCGAGGAAGGGATTAGGTGGAGGAAATGGGCCCACTAATATGTGGGTAATATTAATTTTTAATCTTATTGTTTGACTGGCACATGGGCCTACAATTTTTGTTTTAATGTTTGAATTGTTAAATTTTGCTTCATGTGCCACATCAGATAAAGACCAAGTTAAATTGTTTGCGTGGGCGCTAGGTTAGTTGAAACCGCCATATAAACCGTCTCTTTGAGACCAATATTGCACCAATCTTTGCAAATGAAAGATCTGTTGTATTCGGTATTATGGTTCGAAGACGAAAATCGAACTTGCTTTCAAGTCAAGGGACCTGTAATGAACTTATTCCACGCCACGACCTGGTGGCACTGTCGCAGATATAATGACCGATTAGTCAATCGTTAGCAACCGCTTGGCTTAATTTTTGCTCTTTAGAATAAGGATGGTGTGTTGTCTGTTCCAACAGTCTTTTCTCGTCAGATAGTTGGTAGTAACTTGCTTCTAATATATCTTTTGTTTCGCCAACTCTAGCTAGTCGCATACGGAGTATTATTTACCATTAGTCGTAGTGTATATACACACACATTCGAATAAGATAATGTGCAGGCATATTGATAGTTCACATAGTGTGATAGTGTGATAGTTCACATATTATATATATATATATATATATATGAAAATTTTTAAAAATTTGAGAGAATTTGTGTGTTTTATACCTTGGAGCCCGGGCACCATGGAGTCCCATATGAATATCCTATATATACTGTCTGTGCGCGCGCGAGAAATTTAGAGTCCAGTGTGCAGTACAACACGCGCTGTGAAGTCTGTAAATAATTAAACACTACAGGTAAGTGGTTGTTACACAGGTACTCAGGAGAATGATAAAACAACCTTTAGAGAAACGCACAGGGGTCTTCCGGCTAGCTCCACAAGGTGGTGGGCTAGACGACCTGGGTTCGAAGCCTCACCCCTTCTAATTATGTGATATTAGGTCATTCACTAATATTCGCGATAAAACAGCCTTCACTTTGCATGGACATCGAGCACCACATGTGGAATTGATACCGGTTCAATGGCTATTGCAATTTCTTTTTCGATAGGGTATTTTACTCTCCTAAACTTTGAAACCGGTTATTTGACATCCTAAACTTTTAATGCCATTTACTTTACCCTCAAAACGGTTTTCACCGATTTTTGCCTACGTGAGCTGATGTAACTGCCTAGTCAAGAAATAAAAATAATAATCACAGGCCCATATATCGGTGACAAACACCTCTTCTTCTGCCTCCCACTACTACAAAATGTGTTTACACTGACGTCCAAAATGAGTTTTCGTTAGCGACCGCGGTGCCGCCGATAACCAAAGGTCAATGAAAAATACAAACTTCTCGCTGACGGATGCCTCTGTGCCTGGGAAATATATTCTTCACATGCGGCTAGCTTATGACGTCCACCAATGAAAAAAATTCACTAGCAGGGTGATTAAGGTGACCGCATATGATAAGGATTTTCATCACCCAAATTTGTATTTTCATTTGCAAAATCTCCCCAAAATCCTAAATCCACATTCATGGGAAAAAAAAACCCAAAATCACCAATCCCACATGGCATAAGTCATCGTTGTTGCAGAGACCATTATCATCGTGGGAATGCCATGTCAAATGCTACGCAAGCGAAAACCGGCTGATTTGGAATAAGATGGGTTAAATTGAATGATTTTGATAGTTAAGATTGGATGACCAATTTTAAAGTTTGGGAAAGTGTTTTAGACAACAGTAATATTTGGGGGTTGGGTGGGTGGTTTGTTAAAATGGACTTGTCTTCCTATACAAAACACTGGTCAAAGATCGGATCTATGCACCCGATCTGTCCCGATGCCACTGTGAAATAACAGTAAAAGAGGAGTTAGTATATGTCTTAATCGAGTCTTCCAAACTTTATCATTATATTGTTTCCCCCCTAGTCACTATTGCCAAGACTTTAACTTTGAAGCCGAGATTTTAGTGCCCAACACATGAAAGCAATAATGTGTAAGATAATGCATATGTCACTTCACTGCTTTACCTCCTGCTTAAATAAAGTTACAGAAAGGAACACCCTCACCTTTGTCACTATACGAATGTTCAACATGAAAAAAAAAACGAGAGGAAAAAAATGGCAGAGAGGTTCGAGTTCGAGGAAACTATGCAAAACACTGCAGCAACTTTCAGCAAAGCAATACATTTTCACAATGGAACGACATCTATTATATTATTAAAATACATTTTCACCATGTTCACCATGAACGCTATAAATTATCACATTAATTGCAGAAAAAAGAGTGTTTAAGTAGAAATATAATTAGAAAAAACTAAAATTTAGAATTAGAAATAAGTGATATTGGAAAAAGAGTACATATAGAACCAATATAAGATTAATTAAATTTGAAATAAAAAATAAAATAAATTCTGAAATTTAAAAAAAAGAAGAGAGTTCAAGTAAGATACAATTTGAAATAAAAAAAAAGGACTATTGAAAGAACTGTCCATCAAGAACACACGACAACTTTAATTAAAATTCAAAATAAAAATAAAATAAAATCCAAATTTAGAAAAAAAGAGTGTTCCAATACAACCACAAATCAGAAATAACTGAAATTCGAATCTAAATATAAGAAATATTGAAATAACAATTCATACAAAACCCAATAGGAGATTAATTAAAAATTAAATAAATTCCAAAATTAGGGAAAAAAAGGAAGAGTTTAAATAGGAATGCAATGTAAAAATAACTGAAATTATAAATAAAAATAAGAAATATTGAAAAAAAACATTCCATTTAGAACACAACACGAGATTAACTAAAATTTAAAAAACAGAAAAAAAATACATTATGAAATTAGAAAAATAAAAAATAAGAGTTCAAGTAAAAATACACTTTATAAATAACTAAAATGAGAAATAAAAAAAGGAAACATTAAAAGGAGAGATCATCTAGAAACGACACAAGATTAATTAAAATTTCAAATAGAAAATAAGATAAATTCAAAATTTAAAAAATAAAATTAAGCATCAAGTATAATTATAATTTACAAATAACTGAATTTCGAAATAAAAATAATAAATAATGAAAAAAATACCATATAGAACACAACACATGATTAACCAAAATTTTAAATAAAAAAAATAAATTCCTAAACTAGAAATAGAAAAAAAAATTCAGAGTTCAAAGTAGAAATACATGTAGAAATAAAGGAAAACAAGGAACATTCAAAGTAGTTCATCTATATAACACAACGGTGGGAAAATGTCAGTAAGGGAGAGGATAGCGGGCAAGCCGTAAAAGTAGTATCGTGACGAATAATGGAAATATAAAAACTATAAACCCCCCCTCCAAAAAAAAAAGATAGTTAGGCCTATTTTTTTTTATCCCAATGATATTAAGAAAAAATGAGATAGATATGACATAAATAGTAGGGTCATGATGGTTAGCAGAACTTCTAGAAAGTAAAGTAAGGAACATGTTCAACTTTTAAAAACTGAATGATAATAATAAAAAAAAGATAACGGGTTATCCATAAATGAGTATAATGTAATCGTTTGATGGGACTTCTCGAAACAATAAAAGGGAACTTAACGTTAACGATACAATGAACGGTAAAAGTTATAAGGTACGGTTTTTAATGGTCTCATGAAAAGTCAATAAAAGTTGTGACAAATCGCACGAGTAAATAAAAGGGTAACATGAGAAGAAGAGTAAAAGATGGTGGCTGGTTTGACTTGGAAACCAATATTTGACTTTTTATAATGTTATAAGCCAACGGGATAACTATTAATAACTTCTAAGAAAATCATGTGTAAAGAAAATTTAACATAATTTTTTATGTACGCTAGCGAGTAGCCGTGCTACTGCGCGGGACTTTATTTACAAAAGCAACCTTTGAGGTTAACTTGCTTTGGACGGGCGTCGGCAGTCATGAGTTCACTGTGCGGTTGTACATGCGGCTGGTTGACCACGCGCGAGCTCGTCCAGCCCCACCGGCGAACACGCGAGGATGAAGCGTCCCAACGGCTCGGCCTCGACCGAGGGCGCGCACGGCACCCATTCCCATCGCTCCACGGCGCTGCCCACCCCGTCACGTAGCTCGTAGAGCACGGCTCCGATTGTCGGGTCGGCCGCATTGTACACGTACCCTCCGGCGGCGTTGCCGCACACCCCGATCGACGGCGACATCTCCTCTTCGTCCTCCTCATCGCCGTCCTCGTCACGGGGGAACAGCCTCTCGGACATCTCCCCCGGCATCGTGTCGTGCGCCGCGCCACGGGACAGCGCGAGGCCGTCGCCGTCCACTTCCCACGCTTGGATGACGACTCTGCTCTTCGCTTGCTCGGCTCTACCGCAGCGCTTCGCTCCGAACAGGACGAGCCGCTCGGCGCCGCCGCGGCCGGGGGCGAGGCCCCATGTGGAGACGGTGGCGTCAGGGCGGAGGCGGCAGGTGGGTCCCCACTGCTGCTTCGCCGGATCGAACCAGCTTGCCCACCCGGTGGATCTGTCTGTGAGGTACACTCGCTGATCCGTCGCGGCCACCGAGAGCCACGTCGCCGCCGCGGACTCCCGCAGCTCGGCTGGCATCGGACCGCAGGCCGTCCAGCTGCCGCTTTCGTGTACCTCCACCACCGAGGCGTCCTCGCCCTCGCCCAGCGCCAACTGGCACGCGCCGCCGAGGGCGACGACGCGGTCACCCACCGCGGCGAACACCGGGTCGACGCGCCACACGCCGGGGGCCTTCAGCGCGACGCACACGTCCTTCCCGAGGGGGTCCCCGGACACGGCGAGCCCGGAGAGGGAGAGCGCGCAGACGCGGTCCCCGCCCGCGCCCCGCACCAGGCGGACGTGCGACGGCGTGTCGTGGCGCGCTGCTGGCACGGTGACCCACGCGCCCGAGTGCGGGTCGTACGCCGCGGTGCGGCGCCGCCGGCCATGGAGGTGGACCACGAGCCAGGGCAGCCGCCGGGGCCGCCGCCGCAGCGCGGCGCGCACCGCGCGGAGCCACTCCCGCGACACCCGCGCCGATGCGGCGAGATCGGCCGCCGGCACGCGCTCCACCACCGACTCGAGCACGTCGCCGTACAGGTCCATCTCCCCGAGCGACGCCACGCCGTCTCCCGCGACCTCACTCCCCACCTCCTCGTGCCGCTGCCGCCCATGCTTCAACTCGTGACCCCGAACTCCCACTCCCGCACACATCTCCAACGCCACCATAGCTCACTTCAACACGACTCACCCGCAACCGAGAAACCACCTCTCGTTGTCTCGCTTCCTCCTATCGTTGTTTCGCTTCCTCTCCCCGCGATCTCCACCTCGAGCTCTGGAATGGCGAGCCAACCACGGAAGCGCCGGCGCTTAAAAGGGCAAGACCAGTGCGGGCAACCAGCCCGGTGGTCAATGACCAATGGGATCGGAATTCGGAAGGGATCCACCCAAACGGGTGGAGCCGACACAACGAAACGTCAGCGGCTGCGCGACCTGATCAGTGCAGTGCAGTGCAGCGCACGACACGATCACACGACCGCGACGGCAAGGGTTATCCTTCCTTGCGCGTTGCACCGGCGCGCCTGAACTGAAGCTATCAGCGTTCGTCGCGAACTTGCGATCTCGATTTTGTTTTAGAAAAACAATAATGTCGTGTTCGCAATAATTAGTTTCGGGTAACTGCTGATGCCGCCAAACAACGCGACGATGGGACCAGAGAAGGGGAGTCTAATCAGTGCGACTAGTCGACTAGTCGAATCAGATAAGATCATCACCCATAAGGTCCATAAGGTCTGCGTCTTGTTTGTCTCCTCCTGTGGTCAGTTGCGACTTGCGAGTCGCGGCTCGCGAGCTATCAATACCGGGGGGAATAGAGATATTTTTTTCAAGCGGCGAGGGATTCTCTCCGGCCGTGTGGGCGGAGACAGTGGCCGGTGATCGAACGACACCACATGGTTGGCGCGCGGGGTCCGAATAATGGCGATGCTAACGCAGCAAAGCGTCCGGTTTTCAGTACAAGCGGCCGCCTGATTGTGTGCTTGACGATCCTATCACTGTGCGCGTCGCTGTCGGGAAGACGAGAGCCACCACTTTGTTCTAGAAGCACTGCACTTGCGAGTAAAACGTACGGCAAAATTATCTCGTGAGGATTCAGCATCATACGCGTGGTACGAATGTTCCTCCGGTTTTGGCGTGGAACTTACTAGGTGTGTTCGGTGCTCCTAACTCAAATTTCTCGTTTTTCGTGCACACTCTTTTTAAACTACTAAACGATATGTTTTTTAAAAAAAATTTATATACAAAAGTTGCTCAAAAAAATCAAATTAATTTATTTTAAAAAAACTAACGCTTAATTAATCACGCCCTAATGAACTGTTCCGTTTTCCGTGCGGATGAGATGGGTTCCCAACCCTAAGTTATAAACACAGAGCCACTCACTGATCCAGTGCACGCATACAGATATGCGGTAGTATGAGGATCACATATGGTTCGCGATACTAATACGGTCTGTCAAGATAGGCATCTGTGCTTATTTGATGGAGGCATGACCGCCCGCCAGGGCGCCACCCTGGACCGGCCGTCTCGATAGGACGAGTGGACGATGACCGATTTATATTTTGCACAATTTGCACGTACGGGCTGATCGTTTCCGTGGGCGCTTTGCCGCTCTGCCGCCGCTGATGCTCAAGTCCGGCCCTTTTTTATCCAAGCCTGAGCGGTCGATGGCCGGTCTCGGCCAGGTCGGACGGAAACTGCAGCGAAAGCTGTGTGCTCGCGGCCAGGTCGGGTGCACGTTAAACAGTCATATCATCCACAACCATCAAATTAAGCTGATGAACGATAGAGAGCTGCGCCACGACACAACCAGGCTGTCAGCTTTACAGTACACGACTGTGTACCCTGACCGAATCTGAGCCATTTTCTTTGATCTGACAGTCACGCAACAACGGTTAAAGTTGCAGTCGCTATTACCACTGCAGTTGATCTCGATCCGGCTTTGCTAGTCTTCTTCCTCCGGTTTCTGGTGGGGGCATGCCGCATGCGCTGCTTCGCGCTAGGGCATTCTTCAATTCTCTGCAAGCAAAGCACTTTCACTGCTTCTGTCTTTATTTGAAAGCGTAAACAGTCTTGCACAAAACTATTCTTCTTTTAGTCTTGAAACACATGTAAAGCGGCTTGTTTTGTTTGCACCACACTAACCGCTTCATTTTTTTGGTCATCTGGTCCATGGCAAGTGTCGGGCGGCAGAAATGTGTGTTTCGTGTAGTTAACGTCTCAAGGGCTCACCGATTAAAGTACTCGCAGAAATGTGTGTTTTGCTTTGGACCACGATGTGATTGGCATTTGGCAATAACATTTACGATTTTGCGACAAAACCAATGGGCTCGATGACACTTTTCTAGAACGCTGCGTCTTTTTTTTTCTTTCGTTTTCCTTGTAACTCCTATGTAACATATAGTCATATATCCACGTTTCAAAATAGAGCCATTCAGCGTAGATTCTTAGTCAATATACGTTTACTTTAGAGATTGCTAGTTATCGTGCACATGTAAAACACGTTTGTCATAATATATATAAAAAATATATAGTCACATTTAAAAATTAGAAAGTACACATACTTTGAAAGGTAATTTATTAACACATATATATCAAGTGCATATTCAACTTTTCTGAACATTGCTTCTCTTCAACTATTGAATTTATAGAGCTATTAATTTTTGCATATAGAAATAACCAAAACAAAATAAGAAATTTCTTTAATATAGTCTTTTCAAAAGACTAATCACAATAAAATTAGAGAATTCTTCAAGAAAAACAGACAGAACAAAGTAGCAAAAGACATGCTGTTTTGCCACTTCCTTTTTCAACATAAATTATTGCAGCATTGAGCAGCCTTTTGTAAGGATAAAAATGATTAGTTTTATTTTACAAGTTATGTTTCCAACAAATGAAGTATAACTCTGATTACATTTATTTTAGCCAGACTGGCCCAAGAGTAGGCTAAGCAAATTCATTAAGATTATGAGATGGTGTTACAAACTAAGCGTCCACACGAAGTTGTCGAAACCGGTTACAAAGAGTGGGAGAGAAAAAACTGCAAAAGGAATAATGCCAATCGTTTTTCGCCTACCATGAAGCCTGCCTCCCTCCAGATTGTGATTTCTTTGATGTCACCAAAGAGCTGCACAACCATACAACTTGCTGAGACAATCTCTGAAGAAGAGTGTACCGAAAACTTTTCTGAGATAATCTCTGAAGCTTCTCCTTGAAGCCATCCGCCAATCAGCCAAGTCTACATTGAGGTCACTGGGAAGCGGAAAGCCAACATTCACCTAGCTCCTGAGCAATCTCCAAATCCTGTTTGTGAAAGCACATTGAACAAAAAGGTTGGGTGTCATCTTGAAATGTCAGGTTGCATAGGGAACAATTCGCCTGATGAGGCCACCTCTTTTCTGTAGATTGTCAGCCATGAGGCATCTGCCCTTTAGCGCAAGCCACATGAAAATCTTTACTCTGGACAGCAACAGGGATTGCCAAAGCAGCTTGCCACAGCTCCATATCATTTTCATAAGGAAGAAAACATGGAAAACTTCAGACATCGTAGTTTACGTCTGTTGTTTTAGAGCCATTAGACAATCAGAATATGAAGGCATAAAAATACATAAAACGGCATGTACTTCGGAGTATACTCTTATGAAGCTATATAAATTAAAGGATGCGACCACACAAATGAAAATTGAAACCGGATCTAGATCAAAGCTTATCGCAATGCAGTTAATAAGCTGAACATATAATTTACTTCAATATTCCAGCATTTACTATACAAATAGCTCCTAAATACCGTGCGCCAAACAGTGAAATGCCATGGTGAAACATGATAGGATTTTACCAAAATCTCCAGTTGGCCACAATGTCAACCTGTATTATAAACAATAGAAGTAAGCCAATATATTCAGATGCCTTATAGCATTAACAGATACTTTTCGATATCATGATTTCTCTTATTGTTATATATCAGAAACACGTTGTAAACCTAATTTACAGTTTTAGTAAAGTAGGGGAACAAAAAAAATCTGACACTTGCATGTATTACATACAGTTTTGACCTTGGTAGCATGTTAATCTGCAAATCTGAACATTATTTGCCACAAATTATGTATATTTTCTTTCCAAACTTAAACAAAACCTGAAACACCATGATGTGATATTCATTGGTAGGAGTACATACTGGTTCTCAAACTTCCTGAGTGCCACTTTTTTTTTAAAAAAAAATAGTATTGTACATGGCACCTGGGTAATCTGGCAATAGTTGGACAGGACAGATAATTTGAAATTGCTTTTGAAATCTAACCACCCAATCAGTACACCGCAAAATAATATTACAGGTTGCAGTCCGGTACCTAGAATACTAGCAGAGTGCCGGACTGGGAAAAACCAAACAAAGAAGATATATTCAGAAATACACATATGATCTATTATAATGAAGCAGCAGACCTAACGTATAATAACTTCTAGATCACCTCGATATCTTTTTCTATAAAATGATCCTAATGCTCACTGTAAATAGTGTGAATATGGGTTTGGAATCTTTTATTCCTAGGGGAAATATCGAGATAAAGATTTGGAAGATGAGAATCACCTTGGATTTATGCATATCCTTGAAGCGAAGGGGCACATCGCAGTGATCAAGAAGGTAGTCGGCCATCATTTCATTCCTACTTGTAAATGTAAGATGTGATGACAGGAAATATAGCCAAGAAAGCAAGAAAATCAACTTCTAAAGTGAAATGGAGAATCCAGTTTAATAACCTGTGTAATTTGTACAAAAGACACATGATTCCCCACTATGGGAGAGATATTACCAGTCCAGGAAATTAATTGAATGGATTAGCATTCAGAGGGAATCGTGTGATTGATTGGCAGGGATAGTCAACATTCAGTGAGGAATTAAACTGTAAGATGGACCTCGGCTCCGGCGGCGGATGGAGAAGATAGTGGCTCCGGCGAGGATGCGGCGGCGCGGTGGCAGTACACAGGAGCGAGGAGGAGCGAGCGAGCGAGGAGGAGCGAAGTCACATTCCAGCAATTTTTAACTGCTGCTACAGAAGAAGGAGCTTGAAATACTGGTTCCAAATTGACCCGAACAACATGCAATGCACTTGTGCCAGGTAAAATTATAATATTGTGTTTAGTATAAAGAACATTATAGGTAAGAGCACTTACATGGCAATACCTCGAACCTCCTCATCTCAGCAAGAAACATATCAAGAGATGGCTTGCCAGTCCTCACGTCTAGATCATCCCCCATGACAACATGGTACATCAGTGCAAGCATCAGTCTTTAGGGTAAAATGATGTGCGTAAACAAAGAAGTAATTAAATTGATTCTAATTTGAAAAGCTAAAGGTTGAGGGCAAATTACCTTGTTGCAACAGCCATTGGTATTCTATCAATTTCATTCGAAAAAAAAAATTCCGGAGGGGAAGATATGTGGTGCATTTAGGGAACGGAAAGAATCCCCTACGATGGTGGATCAGACAGTGGCCTCGTTGGCAGAAGAGTCCAGATCCTCTTACAGAGCAGTGGAGAAGTCCGTGGACTCTCTGTTGCTGAGGCAACTGGCCGGATCTGCTGGGCGCCTTAGCGAGGGACCGGCCATTACGTCCGGCTTCGGGGAAAGAGCTCCATGCGTGAGGTGCCTTGATGTGGTGGCATCGGCGGGGGAAGGCGACGACGCAGGGCTCGACTGTGAAGGGGGATTGGAGAGCGAGCGTGACAGAGGGAGGGTTGCCATCCGCCTCTCCCTCTTCACTCTCCCCACCAGTCATCTCCCGCGCGACGACGCCTCCTCGCCGCTGGGATGGGGCCGTCAGGATGGGGGAGTCCGGTATGAGGGATGGCTGGATCTGTGATGGCGCGGTGGACAGCCAGCCGGGACCGCGCGACGACGACGACGACATGGAGCCATCGGCGACGCGGTGGAGGAGGAGGCGGGATGGGGGGGATACTGGAGGGGTCGGGACCGTGCGATGACGACGGCGGCCTGGAGCGAGGAAGCGTCGGGAGGCGCAGCGCGCATCTGAGCAGCGCGAGGAGGCGCGGCGGCGGAGTCATCGCGCGGGGAGAGCGTGGGGGCGTAGATAGCGCGGTGGCAGTAGTGCGGGCGTGGATTTGTGTGGTGGTGGGATGGCGGAATCGGTGATTTCGCCGTTGGATCAACAGATCGGACGGCTGAGGACAAAGATGATTGGGGGATGATTTGGCCTGAAGCATTGGTGGGGGACAACTCCTCCTTTTTATATTAGTATAGATATTTATCTATAGTCTCTCTATAAGAGATCTATGTCAGCATATTTTCCTACTTGAAAGAGATTAAATGAAGAGAGAGAACAAAGCTATCTACTAACATGGAGATAGTCTATAGAGAAAAACGAGGCAATGGATTAAAGAGTTATAGATACCCATATAAGGGCACCCACAATGGTTATCTATAGGCTCTCTATAAGATATCCATGTCAGCATATTTTCCTACTTGGAAGAGATTAAATGAAGAGAGAGAGCAAAGCTATCTACTAACCTGGAGATAGTCTATAGAGAAAAACGAGACAATGTATTAGAGAGCTATAGATACCCATGTAGACATACTGTTGAGATGGTTTACTATTAATCTAGTCTATTGCTGAGATGTACATGTTTTATAGATAACACCTTACTTTACCATTGCGGGTGCTCTAAACATACTATTGAGGTGGTTTACTATTAATCTAGTTTATTGCTGAGATGTACATATTTTATAGAGAGCATCTTACTTTAGCATTGCGGGTGCTCTTACATGTTACAACGACAATTATGTGTGTTTATAAAAAAAAGGTGTGTTTGCTTTTAAAAAAGTACTATATATCATCATGATGAACTCATTAAATTTATGAACACATTTTAATCTAAAATTGATAATAAAAAAATAAAAGTTTAACCTATTATAAACATAAAATATTTATGGTCCAATGGCGTAGTTACATGACATTTTATAAAGACAACTTTGGTGCGGTTAATCAATATCAATGGTGAGATATATGTGAGGATTTTGTCAATGTGATCTAGTTTTCTTAAGGGTGCGTTTGGCTTGTGGTCTAAGGTTAGAATGTTAGATATGATATGGTCATTCATATTTGTAAGGATATGGTGATTAGGGGCGAAGCTAGCATCAAAACAAGGGGACACTACCATTGAAGATCTAGAAAATTTCAATGTAATACTGTGCATTTTAGTGTTTTCAAGTGAGAAATTCTAAATTTAGTGGGTTCATGTGCACCCGCTAGCTTCAACGTGGCTTCGCCACTGATGGTGATCCTATTTTTTATTTGGTTGGGTGGATCTTGTTTGGTTGGATGGATGAGAAGGAAAACAATGTTATATTAATTAATACTAAAATATGTTATTATCATTAATGTAGCCATAGTCTATACTAATTAAAAACAAAATAGACTAATTCTGTCTAATTAACCTTGATTTTGACAAGTTAATTATTAATTATTATCAATAAATTACATTAATTATTGTTAATCAATTACTAATGATTAAGATTAACAAAAAGGTGGATATTCTCATCCGACCAATTTGGTCAGATACGCTCATCCAACATATGTGTGAGTTATTTCCTCTTTGGACCACCCTATCCACCTTTGTCCACCAACCAAACATACCAAAAAACTGGATCATCTCCTATCCAGGGATATCCCTTTAACCAAATATAAACTAAGATGCTCATATGATTAATGTATACACTAGAAAAAGCGTGCGGCTTTGCCACGTGTGGTACAGTGAGCCTGGCTCATTAGGCCTAGTGAATAGGTAACAAATTAATACACATATATAGAAGAGCCAGATTAATAGTAGAGATAACTAAACTTATATTAGAGCTTATAAGTTGGCTATAAGATTGTCTCTATATTTCTTTTTCCTCTCTTTATCTTACTTACAAGAATTTAATGTATTTACCTTAAAACATGTGTAGAGCTAGATTTTATCGAAAGCCAATCCTCTCTCTCTATATATATATTTTAATCTCTATCATATACGTAAGTTTATAGACCACTATTATTTTTGCTCTAAGAGCAAATTTTATGAGTAAGTTTTATAGTAGAGGTGATTGAGACCACCAATTTATTCACATCATCAACTAATTAATTAAGATGTAGCATATGTAATAAATTGTCTCTAACATACTGGCTCCAATTTTCATCCAATTCACACCATTCCTTTACTGGAGTTCGTGAAGAGATTACCCCTTTCACAAGGGGTGGTTACTTCTCACATACTATATTGGAGCTCGTGCTGCAACTAACTAGTCCATTTTTCTTCACTCTCCTTCGTTGTTCTATAGCTAGCTTATTGCTTTTTATTGTACTTGTTCTAAGGCTGCATTCGACAAAGGACAAACAAAGGAAACATCCATCATTTTTCACCCGTATGTCAGAGTGTTTTTACATAAAACTATATGTAGAAAAGTTACTTTTTAAAATAATCATATTTCTATTTTTCATGTTTGAAACAGTCCTTGGCTTTTTAAACAGTCCTAAATCACCTGATGAAGCGATAATGGCATACTTCTTTTTACGTGTCTTATTTTTTTCCTCTCCTCTCAGACATAGCCTAAGACATGTTTGGAACTCAGGAAAACAATATATATGAAAGAAAACATTTGGAATATAAAACGCATAAATACATGTGTAAAACATATAAATGAAAAACATAGAAAGTTTAAAAAGACTGATGTTTGAGGATTTTTTTAGTGGATGATTTAATTACATCCGGCTAATCCTATTTTAACCCTAACTAAAGTAGGTAGTATTATTAGGCCCTCTTTGTTTAGGCTTAGGCTTATTGGCCTAGATTTTTAAGTCAGCTTATTGGCTTATATGATTTATAAGCCGGTGGATTTAATGTCCTAAGTTTAGTAGTTGAGTCATACATCTACCTCACATAAGCCAAAAAAGCTTCTCCAACCTAGCTTTTAGCTTAATAGTGTTAGAGTGGCTTATGGCTTTAAAAAAGCCAAACGGAAAAGCTGCTTGTTTGTTTAGGCTTAGACTTTTCGACTTATAAATTAGCTTATAAACCTAAATAAAGAGGGCCTTACTCCTTTGATCCTCAAGATTTGGTGGTGAAAGGAAGCAATAGCTGCCTGCTTGCCTGGGCTTTGCCAGTCGTACGGCGGCAATGTGAGAAATCAACGTCAGCAGCACGGTACAGTTCATTAATCAGCATACACCGGGTGTTTGCACTACATGTATGCATAGTAATGGCGCCGGTTCTTTCTAGAATCATCACACGGCATAATTCGCATGGGCTACCGAGCAATGGCCCATTGGGACCTGATTACGGAGAAATTTCTGGAGGCCTGCTGCATGCGCACAAGAGCGTTTCATCGATGCCTCCACTCGCGGACGCGAGATCGTTTCGTCGAGCCTCTTATGCGAAACTGGAGTTGCCACGTGGCATGTTTCTCCTCTCGATTGTTTGCATTGAATTCGTATTATAAGATGTGTGTTTATATATGTGATGTACGCGTGTTTACATAAGCGTGTACTGTGTTCCAACAAACAAAGGAAACCATGGAACTGTGATCGACCTGGGTTCTCGGTGACCTTGGTACGGTCTACCCCATAAGTGCTCGGGAGCAAAGAAAGAAGTATACATGTTCAGGTTTCTGAAGGACAATACCCTAATGCAATGGACAAACTTAGCAACTGACACACCGTATATGATGGATGTGTGATGTCCGTACCCTACTAAAAAAACCATCTTTCGTGGCAGCCATTTTAGATTTTCGCTGGTGGAATTTTGAGCCGCCACAAAGCAAAAGCCAGTGAAAATCACAATCTTCGCTAGCGGTTTTTGGCCGCCAGCGATAATTCATTTTCGCTGGCGGTTGTCTTAAGCCCAACCGCCAGCAAAGATCCATTTTCACTGGCGGCTGGCTTAAGATGGCCGCCAGCGAAAATATTTTTTCGTTGGCGGGTAACACTGTGTCAGCCGCCAGTGTTAATCCTGGCCAAGTTTAAAAAAAAAATCAACGCTCCACCATTCAAAAATCCACAGAAATTTCCATTCACCCAAGCAAAAATTAGTCAAAAAATTCAATTCACACAAGCACAATTTAAATTTACAGTCAAAAATTTCTATTCCCCCAAGCATTCAAGCATCAAAAAAATTCAAGCATTCAAGCCTCCACTGCCTCCGCCTCGACGAGGCCGCTGCCGAGCCCCGCCGGCCTCCGCCGCTGCACAGAGCCCCGCTGCAGAAATGGTTTCTGGAATTCGAAGGAAGAAAATGAGCACATGAACAGAAGAAAATGATGATCCAGAAACGTCAAACATAATGAGCAGTTGAACCCCACCACGTGCAAACAGATCAGAACCAAACGCATGAACTGAAGAGAGGATCCTCTCGTGCGGTCGTGCCTCCTCTCTGCAGCTAGCATGCAGCTCCCCGGTGACCACCGGCCAGGCGCCACCGATCTAGCGGCGGCGGATCTAGCCTCCCTGCCAGCGCCTGAGAGCCGCCGCCCGCGCCTGGATCCGCCGCGCACTGCCGCCGGCGTCCGAGAGCGGCCGCCCTTGCCCGGATCAGCCGCGCGCCGCCGCCCGCGCCCCGATCCGCTCCCCGCGGCCCTCCGGCGGCCGGATCCGCCGCCCGCGGCTCTGCGGTGGCCGGATCCGCCACGCCTGCACCCGCGCCCGTGCCCTTCCCGGCCGTGGATCACGGCGCCCCTCCCGGTCGCCGTCGTCACCGTCGCTAATCCGCCGTGGTTTCCTACTCCGACAGGAGGAGGAGGAGGAGGAGGTGGAGGAGAAGGAGGAGGAGAGGCTGGAGGAGGACAGGAGGTGGAGAGGCTGCAGGAGGAAGAGAAGGAATGGGAGAGGTGAATGGGAAGGGATAAGATTGGAGAAGATTTTAATAGAGGGAATATTTTTTTCATAGTCGGTGTAAGTTAGCTGCCGCCAGCGAAAATCGGCCGTCAGCGAAAACCCAATTTTTTATAGTGGGTCTCTTAGCGTAGCCGCCAGCGAAAATAGAGTTATTTTTAATGGCGGACCTCTTAGTGTGGCCGCCAACGAAAAGCAAAAACCGATTTTCGCTGGCTGTCCGTAACCCTTCACCCCTAGTTACATTTTTAGTAGCGGTTTTCACGTATAACTGCCAGCGAAAATTATAGGGTGACGCCATGAAAAATCATTTTTTAGTAGAGGTAGGATGTGCCTCCACCCGTATATGATGGATGTGTGATGTCCGTAGGATGTGCCTCCACCGTTCTTCAAGAAACGCCACGTTAGCCTTTACCGAGCTGACAAGTGATTCCTGAAACGAGACATCTAGCCCTGTTTGGCTAATGGGATAGGGAAATAATTTCCCACCCACCAAAACATCTCTAAATTCTAACCATCCATTCTTCCTCTTCTATTTAATCATAACCATTCATTCATTTCTCATTCCTAATTACATTCCTCATTTTCCATTATACAAACACACCCTAGGATGTGCGAAGATCGACCTTCTTCTTGAGTGAACATACCAACTCCAGTTGACCGTGTCTTGGGTAAACATACTTGGCAGTTTCCATGCAAACTTGGGTTGTGGGGTCCTATCTTCGAATGGTGCCACGACATGGTTCCCGGGCAATTAGCTAGATAGCCATGTGCACCCGTGCAGAGGACACGTGGCCACCTTCGAGCATCTTCAAGGCTATCCACCAAAGTCTCACGTTGGCCTATCCTTAGAGCAAGTATAATAAGGAGGCTATAATCCGACTAAATGCTGAGGTGTAGAAGAGAAGAGAGAAGAGAGAGGAGAAGCGAGCTGTAAACTTATAGCCGGTTTGGACACAAAAACCAAAAAACTCTGTGAGAGAGATAAGTGGGTCCTATATTAATCGTAAAGAGCTAACTATTATATGGGTGGGCTGAGAGAAGGCTACAAAGAACCTTATAGTTAACAAGTCGGCTATATTATTAGCCTTGCTCTTAATTACACAAATGGATCGCCAACGGATACACGGACCTCCCCGCAAAGTCTTGAACTTATTCCATGCGAAGGAGTTATTGGTCCATGTCAGAAAGATCCTAGCACACTAATCACACTACTGGAGAAACCATCTTTGGTCGGTCGACCAAATTCCACAATAGTCCCGGTTACAATAAAAACCGGGACTAAAGATATCTTTAGACTCGGTTCAAAAGGTTAGAGCTACCTTTTGATCTTTAGTCTCGGTTGGTAACACCAACCTTAAAGATCATTTTTAGTCCCGGATAAAAAAAGGCAAGCGGTGTCAGACCCTCTGTTATCTTTAATCCCGGTTAGTGTGACTAAAGATCTATTTCTAGTCTTGGTTGTTAAACAACCGGGAAAAAAGATTGGCATGCGCGGAGAGAACGAGGCGTGCACGCGCGCGAGATCGAGGAGGAGGAGGCGCATGGGATCAGTTAATAAATTCTATCTCCTCCTCTCTCACCTTTATCTCTTTCTCCTCTCCTCTCCTCACTCACCGCATCTCTTCCTCTTCCTTCTCCGGATCCGCCCCCTCCCCTCTCCTCCCCACTTCTCATGCGCCCAGGCGGCGGCACAGGCGGCCTCGCACGGCGGATCCGGGAGGGGAGGCAGCCGGGCGGCGGCGGCCGGCGCGGAGGGCGGTGCGGCGATAGGCGGTGGAGGGCGGCGTGGCTGCACGTATTTTTTTTCTTTTTTCTTAATGTGTGATTTGATCTGTGTTGATTCGATTTGTGCTGAATTATTCGATCTGTGTTGATTCGATTTGTGTTGAATGTGTGATTCGATCTGTGTTGAGAATGAACTATGCTGTTGTGAATGATTTTGAGAATGAAATATGTTGCTGTGAATGATTTAGAATGAATTATGTTGCTGTGAATGATTTAGGATGAACTATATTATTGTGAATGATGTGAGATAATGTGCGTGAGATATACAAAATAGAAAAAAAAAGAAAAAAAACCTTTAGTCCCGTATTTTTACTCCCGGTTAGAAAACCGGGACTATAGGGATTACCAACCAGGAGTAAAAAGTATTTCTCCACCAATATCGTATAGTTGCGATAACATGTGTTTGGAGCAAAGCAATCTAGTCAAATAGAGACCTTTTGGTAAGGACACTGATAACGTATAAACACATATTCGACATGATTAGGAAATGGCCTTCCTTAAGCGGAGTAATTAACAGGAAATTGTTAGGCCCGTTTCACTCGAAATCAAGCAAGGCCCTAAAACCCAAAAACGCATTATCATTTCCCAAAGCCCAATCCTGCTTACTTCTCCAAGAGACTAGAGAAGTAGAGAGAGGCCGATGATGATATGAAACAGACGATCGCGGTTCTTGGCTACCAGCCTACCACATAAAACGAGAGGAATGAAAAAAAAAAAAAGAACAGCTCGCTCCAGCCTCCATCTGGAATTGGATAGGCTGGAAATCCGCCAGGAGACGCTTTGCCGAATTGCCGTGGCCTCGCGGCACTCCCTCCTCTCTCGCAGACTCGCAGTAGTATGCTAGGGATGAGAATATGAGATGCCTCTCCCAATTCATGGCGCCGCCGTCCGTGGCACCCTGTCCCGCGCGTGTCCTCCTCGTCTCGACCCCATCCCCGCCTTCTCTCTCCCGCCGCCGCCCGGCAGGTCGCCGCTGCGGTGGCGGGGACGGGGGCGCGCGCCTCCGGACCATCCGATGCGGCGCGGCGACCGAGGAGGAGGACGGGGACCGGCGGGGTGAGCGGGTGGAGGCGGCCTGGGAGGAGGAGGTGGCGGCGCCCGGCCGTGACCTCGTCACGCTCGCCGCCTGCCTCGTCGGGCTCCTCAGTGGCGTCTCCGTCGTCCTCTTCAACCTCTCGGTACCCATACGACGACACATCTCACGTCTAGTTCCCCGACTTGGATGTGAATATGCGATGCAATTGGACAACGAACTTACATAGCAATGTTTTAAGCTACAATTTGCTTCCAAATCCCTTCTAAAACGCTTCTCACATGTAGCATTGCCGATCCATAAGCTATGCTGGTGCTAATTCATGCATCCATGCATTAGTTTAGTTCCCATCCAAAAATTACTAGTTTTATTACTCCTTGTCTGCTGTGTGCCTGTTTTAGCTTGGTTCGAATTGTGTTTGTCCAATTAGCGCGTCCAGTCCTCACCCATCCTCACAAGATGCCATTTCCTGATTCTTCCCTACTGATAATATAGTGGATAGTGTGTATAATCTCGATCTCTAAGCCCATAGATGTTTGATGAAAATGGAGGTTGGCGTTGCAGCTGCCAGGCATAAATAATGTATTTCAAGAATTTGAGCATCTTGATTGCATACAAGTCCTCAAAGTAATCACTATTACACATGTTGCAGATTGAGATAAGAACTTTGTATTATTTTGGCATAGGTTCATGAAATACGTGATCTCTTTTGGGACGGCATACCATTGAGAGGCGCTTCATGGCTAAGGGAGGAGTCCATCGGTGAAATCTGGCAGAGAGTGATACTTGTTCCAGTCAGTGGAGGCATTATAGTTGGAGTGTTTAACACATTAAGAAGTTCTATAGCAACCAACTCAAATGACACTATGTCTAAGATAAAAGGTGCCTTTAGGCCATTTTTGAAAGCCATGGCAGCATCTTTTACTCTTGGAACTGGAAATTCTTTGGGGCCTGAGGGTCCAAGTGTGGAGATTGGTTCATCTATAGCCAAAGGATTTGGAAATGTGTTTAAATTGGAAGGAGGGAAAAAACTTTCTCTTGTGGCAGCTGGATCAGCAGCTGGAATCGCATCAGGTGAATCTTGCTTCTCATATTTCTTATTTTTCAAAATTCCATTCACTGCAGAATATTTCTCTATATTTTATCTTCAACTTTTAAGTTGGTCTGTCATGTTTTAATTAATTACACACATGGAATATATTTTTGTATCAGAAGCTACGCATCTGAACGCAAGCGTCTGTTTTTTGGAACTTTTTGCTATGTAGCATCCAAACGCAAAGAATCTATTTATGGAACTTTGTGTAATGTTCCTTGGTCAATAGATCACCTAAGTTGACACAGCATAAAGTATGATATTCTCCTTTTGTGGATACTCCACACAGTCCTACAATTCAAACTGGCCAAGTAATCCTTTTCCCCATGCATTCTGTTTTCTGATTGCATTGTACTTATATTTCAGGTGATTGCTTGTATTGTAGGTTTTAATGCTGCTGTTGCCGGGTGCTTTTTCGCCGTGGAATCTGTTTTGTGGCCTACTTCTGTTGACTCTTCATCCCTTTCCAACTCAACACCTATGGTGATACTCAGTGCAGTGATAGCGTCTGTTGTTTCAGAGATTGGTCTTGGTTCTGATCCTGCTTTTACCGTTCCAGAATATGATTTCCGCTCGCCAACAGGTACTTTTTTGTTATAATTGATATTTTTCAGCAGTTTGATGCATACAAACCATATCTTGCAATACTTTCATTTAGGCTATACATAATTTCTACTGGTTAACTGCCTGTCCGGTATTTTGACATGTTCTCGTTGTAACTTGTGTAGCACTTCCTAATTTACGATTCTAAAATAAAACATATTGTGCCCAACTGAAATAGTTGAAGAAGGGAAAATTTACTACCAAATGAAGGGAACATGAAAATCTTGATGTTTGGCTTTTGTTTTGAAACCACACATTTGTGCTCTTGTTGACCTCATCCTCCTAAAGAATTCAGTTTTGCCATTAGTAAGGTTGATTTGTCAAGTATGAAAACACCTCTTAAACCCTCCTGGACGTAGATTAGTCTTACTGTCTGTTAATAACATCTTGTTTTTACATATTTTTTCTCGTGATCCAGAGATTGAAAGTATGAGGATATTTACATGACTTAATAAATGTCAGAACTTCCTCTATATCTTTTGCTGGGCATCTTCTGTGGGTTGGTGTCTACTACACTATCTAGGTGTACAGCACTTTCTATGGAGATAGTTCAAAGTTTACAAACGGCAACCGGATTACCAAAGGCTGCATCTCCTGCCTTGGGTGGCCTTATTGTTGGTCTTCTAGCCCTTGTATACCCTGAAGTTCTTTATTGGGGCTTTGAAAATGTTGATATTTTGCTGGAATCACGACCATTCACAAGTGGACTCTCAGCAGCTGTATTGGTTCAGCTCATTGGAGTAAAAGTATTGGCGACATCTTTGTGCAGGGCTTTTGGATTGGTTGGAGGCTATTATGCACCATCCCTTTTTATTGGTGCAGCTACAGGCATGGCGTATGGAAAGGTCATGAGGTTTACATTTACTGGCCCGGATTCACTGTTCCAAATCCCGTTCCTAGATGTGGCGTCACCTCAAGCATATGGCCTGGTAATATGTCTATAAGCAATAGTTTTCTCTTTTGCGTATTTTCTTTTAGATTGATCGAAAATATCAAGCAAAGAAAACTGATTTGCATGTTTGCTTCCTTTTGTTCTATCTTTGCAGGTAGGTATGGCAGCCACGCTTGCTGGTGTATGCAAGGTGCCTCTTACATCTGTCCTCCTACTGTTTGAGCTTACTCAGGACTATCGTATAGTTTTACCTTTGCTTGGTGCTGTTGGAGTATCATCTTGGATTGCTTCTCCCCAGAGGTTCTCTAGGAGCAATAGGAGTAAGCCGGATTCCTCAGAGGTGAAATCAAGTAATTTTAAACAGGAAAAAAGTGTGCCCTCCCAGACACAAGGAGCTTCTGTGGATACAGATAAGCCTATTACCGACCTATGTAAGCTTGAAAGTTCACTGTGTGTCTATGATGCCAAGCATGAGAATTTTCAGGAAAATCTTACTGTTGCAGAGGCTATGAAGACTAAATATATTTCTGTTTCAAAGACAACTCCAGTAGTTGAGGCACTAAATCTTATGCTTGTGGAAAAGCAACCGTTTGTTATGATAATTGAGAGCAACAGATCTCTAATAGGCTTGGTAACTCTCAAAGATATCCAGGATTTCTGCAGAACTGCGAAAACTACCAGGGTACAGACTGAGGTGATTTGCTGTCGTTTTCCCTCATTTTTCCTTCTGCGATTCTGCTTGATCTTAATTCATAAGTTATGACTTATGTATACCAAACTTCAACTGGACATGCACCCTTGTCTTATTTATGCACTCTTTTCCTTTTTTTAGATGATGGATAAGAATCTGGCCTCTATATCCTCAAGTGGATATACACAGCCATTATGCACTCTTTTCTATTCTTCTTTCCTGAATAAGAGATCATCAGCTGCCCCCAGCTTCATTTGTTTTCTCTGTTGTTGATTGGAACATATCAAAATAACATATTCTTTAGTTTGCTAGCCCCTTGGGATCTATATCCCTTGGCCAGTCTCGATCTCTGAAGTTTCTGTGGTTCATGCTTGCTTTAAAGATTTTCAAAGAAAAATACAGTTGGTTTCTTATTTGTTTTCTGAGGTGCAATCATAATTCAGAACATGCTAACTGTATTTAACTGGCATATATTTTTGTCGTCTTGTAGTTCTATCTGTATGTTACTCATTTCTGGTCATGCTACAGGAACCTGTACAAACTTATGTTTGTGGAGCCGTTAAGTGTAAAATGTGGCCTGTGACACCTCAGACATCTCTAACTACTGTTGAAAAGATCATGGATTCTTATGGAGTGGATCAACTTCCAGTAGTTTCAGAACATGTTGATCGTCAAGATAGAGGACTCTTGGTTGGTTTTGTAGATAAAGAAGGCATTGCCATTGCTCGAAGGTAAAAGTAATCACTTTCTAACACTACAGAAATCGGTTATTTTCCAACTTATAACCAGCACCTTTGCCCTCCTTGTTATGTTTTTCCAGAGCTGTAGCAACAAAAGATCTTTTGAGTTTTACATCTGAGATAAAGGGGGATAGATGACTTAAAAGTAGAGCTGATATTACACAGTTCTGATATTTCATCCCAGAACTGGGAGCTGTTCAGAATTGCCCAGCATCTGTGTACAAGTGGCCAACGCTTCGGACTCTTTTAACATTTTTACCAGGTTGTTTTGTTAACTTCAGAATGTAACTCAGAAACGTACTGTTGAAGGGCCTTTAGTTTTGCACAAGTGGATATATGCGGTTTTATTGCACCAGCGTGCTACAAGTATTTTTAGATGACATCATTTTGTCAAACTTGCGTTTTCCACTGTACGATTTATTGCAAGAGCAACAAAATGAAGTATATTCATCTAGGAAGCGAGACCTCAAGGTAGATCAATGTAATCTGGAGCACGAGGTCAATTGGTCAAATGAAATATACGTAAGTGCTACGGTTAATAAATGCAGTCTTTCGTGTGGAAGAAATTACTAGCCCGACGTATGACCAGTGATTATATTTATCCCTGCAAGTATTCCCAAACGACATTTCGTATGCATCTACGTATTTTTCCTAGGCAAGTTCCATACGTGCTGCAGTTTGAACGCGTGACAGTTTTTGTTTAGTAGGGTCAAGTGGCAATTGCGAAGTCTGAACGGGACGAATGAGGTCAGACCCCGTAAAATAAGGCCGGAGAAGAAGCAACTACTGATTGTTACTACTACTAATTACTACTTCCTCCGTTCCATGATATAAATCATTCTAGCATTTTCTACATTCATATAGATATTAATGAATCTAAATAAATATATATGTCTAGATTTATTAATATCAATATGAATGTGAGAAATATTAGAATGATTTACATTGTGGAACGGAAGTGAGAAATACTAGAATGATTTACATTGTGGAACGGAGTGAGTTCTCCGGTATTACTACTACTACAGTACGCACGATCAGGGGAAGGTGGGCGCTGATTCGTCGCATACGTACGAAGCGAGAAAAAACGAGCAGAGGACGAAAGAGACAGGATGCGTGCCGGGTTCACGCTTCCAATTTAGTCCCAGAACGGAGTTAATTATACGGACTGCTAGTAATACGATTTATGATTAGCCCCGTTTAACTCAAGAGATATTTAACCATTTGCCACATTTAGATGTGGCAATTAACTTTTTACCACTGGACCCACATGTCATAGACACATGTGGACCCATATGTCATTGAGATAGGGGTGGCAAATAATTATTTGCCAAATCTAAAAGTGGCAAATAGTAAAAAGCCCCTTGACTCAAATGCAACCGGAAAAGAATCGAAATTGCAAACATAGGGCATGTTTGGTACAGCTCCAACTCCTAAATATAACTCCAGGAGTTGAGTCTAGAGTGGAGTTATGGAGCTGCCTAAACCCAGCTTCACAACTTTAGTACATTTTGTGAGAGAGCTCCACCCAACTCCACTCCCAGTTTTGGTGGAGCTGAAAACTGTTTAGCTGAGCTCCAGCTCCAGGAGAGGTGGAGCTGGAGCTGGAGCTATGCCAAACAGGTCCATAGATACGATATTCCTTAAGAAAACTGCGAATTTGAAGCCCTACAAGGTAGAAATCGAAATAATAACCGAAAGAAAAGGCTGAGACATGAAGAACGTTGATGAAAGTATTGAAGTGTCACAGATCATGATTCATGAGAGAGAGCAAGAGATCAAAGAGGACTGCACATTGTGACCGTGTGTACAAGAAACGGAGAAACACGCTTAAGTATCTGTACTTTTTGATCATGCGCATGGCGGCATGGCGATATATTTCTAACCTTTCTTTGCACGAAGCAACTAGCCCGGAGCTAACAAAGCATCTCAACAAACAAACATGGCAGGGACGGCCTGGCTCAGCGGCGCCGGCTCTTGGCGCTGGCGCCGCCGCGCGGGCGCGCCTGATGATGCTTGTCCTTGCCGAAGAGGTTGCAGAAGCCGCAGGCGGCGACGCGCGGGGAGGGCGGGTCCAGCGCCGGCTGCACGTGCCCCGCCTTGTACCCGCCGTGGCCGCTCGAGCCGCTCCGCTGCGCCGCCGCCCGCGCGGCCGGAGCCGGCGCCTCGGCCTTGCCCCCGAGCTCCCCTGACTGCTGCAGCTTGTCCTCCCACACCATCCCCGACGACCCCGACCGCCGGAACGTCTCGCTCGATCGCTGCAGCCCCGCCATGTACGGACGCGCGAGCAGCGCAAACAGCGCTCGACGCCGGCCGGTGGTGGTGTGCGTGTACGTGTGCGCGCGCGCGCACGGTGTAGCTACGTATTGCCTGCCTATATGCGAGCGAGAGCGTGTGTGGTGTTGAGCAGGGAGCAGTCAAAACGAAGCATATGTGCTTGCGTTGCGTGCGTGGGTTTGGCATAAGAGTCGCCGTGCGCGCGCTGCCGCGGCAGGACAAAAGAGCAGCATATGCACCTGGTGCACGCGACGCGAGGGTAGCAGACTCAGTAGCAGCCGATTCTTTCGTTTAATTAACAAAAGCCGTATTTCCGAGACCTCCGAGAGGGAGTTGTTGGCTTGGTTGTGAACTAATGATAAGCATAATAACAACTTTGAACATATTTACGCAGTGTTTATTCTAATCAAGGTGATATAGGTATCAAACATTGACCGGAAAGAGAGAGAAAAGTACTTCCTCGATACTCGTAAAGAAAGTCGTTTAGGATAATATTTAAGTTAAACCTTGGGAATATAAATCATGAGGATTGAAAATGTAAAAGTTATATGAATAGATTTGTCTTGAAAAATACTTTTATAAAAGTATACATATATCACTTTTCAATGAATATTTTTTATAGAAAAAAGAAGTCAAAGTTGTGTTTTAGAGACCGTATCAATATTCTAAACGACTTCCTTTATTAGTATGGAGGGATTAGCTAAAATACGCTGTCAATCATGTCGAATTATCAATCAAACGACGGGGAGAAAAAAATTATCAGTCAAACGACGGAGGGTGTGTGTGTCAGCAATACGCCAATACTACGCATTAGGTGAAAGGAATGTACGCGTGCATTGGGCGAGTTATTCTACTTGAGGCGGCTCTGCTTGCCACAGATCATCATCGATGGAACTAACGACGTGTGGAGACTGGAGAGACTTGAGACGCGTTCCAAGACATGCTCTGCGTTGGCTAGCTAAAGCCTTTGCGCGCTCCCGGCGACTCGACTCGACTCGATTTGGGATTGGTACGTCATACGTGGCGCGGCACCCTTGGGTATCACGGATTGATCCGGCGCCGGCGGGCGTTCAAACCGGGCCTGCTACCGTATGTCTCTGGGCGTCCGTTTTCTTTGCGGGGGTTACCCGGCGTTTACTTGAAAGTGAAAACCAAAAGAGTAGGAACAAGAGCGCAATCGACGAACTGCGTACGGAAGAGTAGGAAAACGCGAGAGAGACGTACGCATGATGCATGCATCCAGATACATAGAGAAATAGCAGCGCGATGCTCATACATGAGTATGCATGATGGAGTACAACGTTGACTCTCAAAAATGAGCTTGGGTTTTTTTTAAACTAAACCGGCAGGAGAACTGTCAATTATATTTCATTAAACAGGAGTAAAAACCCAGACGGGTTACAGAAAAAGAAAAAACAAACTCTCGGCGAGTAGAGACTCGCCAAGTCTTTCCACCGTGGCCGGTACAACCACACAGCACACGGAGCTCTATATCACTCTAGCCAAACTATCAACGAAACGATGGCGGAATCCAACGACGAACACCGATGTCGAGATGCTGAAGAGGCGGCACACCGCGTTGACATCACAAGGCACATGTCATCGTTACCGAGCTAGCCGCCCAGCGACCCAGCAGCTCCAACTCCACGGCGATCATGGCATCATTGTAGGCACCGCCAAACCGAGCAAAGCAACACCAAGCTCACACTTTGGACATCATTCAAGCCCCTGAAGCGCCAAAGCCTGTACTAGCAACACCCACATCCCTAGAGAGAAACTGCAAATGTTATCGTTGCCAAGCTTCGTCGCACCCCAACGACGTAGCAGTTTCGACTCCACCCGACAGAGACAGACGAATAAGCTGGATGCCACCAATACAAGAAAGGAACCAAGAAGGACAAGGCCTCGCCAAGCACCTAGGCATCTAGCACATCGAGCTGACACAGGAGTCCACAAGCGGCAAATGGTGCATGGGTAAGGTTCTCCAAGACGATGCCCCCAAGGAGGATACGACGTGAAACGCCGCCATCGCCCGTCCGGAAACCGGATCACAGTTTTCACCTAGAGACTGGTAGCGTGGAGAAAACGCTATAACGACGCCTCCAAGAAGGGAACGATGCCAAAGGCGCCGCCGCCGTCGTGCCAGCCAAAGGCTAAGCAAGGCTTTCGCCAATGATTTTCGTCCAGCGCCACCACTGAACCACACAACAACCGTCGCCGAACCACCACATCATCTCATCAGCCACCAGTTAGCCCAGTTCACCACCCCACGGCTCAGGTAGGCTCGCGGCCTGCTCCCGCACGTCGCCATGGCACCGTCGTCCTCTGCACAAGCCGCCGCGTCCACCCTCTCCTGAAGCTCCCCACGGCCAGAACAGGATCTGGCCATAGGAGGGGAGGAGCTCCACGAGATGGGTTTTTTAAGCCGCCTGGGAGAAGAGACGTCGCCGCCGCCAACCACTTCCTCGTGCACACAAGCCAGAGAAGCAGCAGTTGACGCACGTCCGCGAGCCGCAGCCACCGTTGCCGCGAGGTCCTCGCGCCGCAGTCGCCGCCGTGCGGTCCTCGAGCCACGGCCGCCACCGCCTCCTCCTCCGTGCGCCCCTCGCGCTGCGGTCGCCGCCGCCGTCGCCTCCTCCGCGCGGCCCTCGCGCCGCGGTCGCCGCCGCGGCTGCCGCCTTCGCCGCCGACTTGCGCGTCCAGCCCAGATCCGGCCAAGGGAGGGCCGGATCCGAATTCAACGGCGCCGGATCTGGCAGTCCTCGCCGAGCTGCGCCCCTCGTGCTCCGGTCTCATCGGCGCCCCAACCACTTGACCAGGAGTGAGGAGAAAGGGGAGCCCCGCCGCCGCCGTCTTTGCAGCCGCCCGGCTTTACCGGCGGCTGCTCGGGCGGCGGCGAGGCGTGGGAGAGGAGGGGGCGACGGTGAGGTGTTGCCGCCCGCGTCACCCCTGGGGCGGAGCGACCGGGCCTAAAAATGTGTTCAATTTTTGTTTGTGGTTTCTCTCTAATATAAAAGTCCTACTAGTTGAATGGCACATGTTCCAGGAAAAATGGGGAACATGTATAATGACATCAAGGACTACTGGACTACTAATCGATCGATCAGGTTGGTTTGCTGCTCCATGCTTTATAATGACATCAAGGGCTAGTCGATCAGGTTGGTTGAGTTTGCTGATCCATGCCTCCAAGCGCCTAGAACACCAGAAGTCCAGAACACATCCGCGACAATCCCAAACAGAGGTTCGTTTAAAAAAAAAAACAATCCCAAACAGAGGCCTTTCAGGCAAAGGCGCATGCAGTCTGAAACGATTAGCAGTGACATCCAGCAGACAGACAGTACTCCATCTGTCCTAAAATAAATGTAGTTTTACACTATTCATCTCCAACGTTTTGAACGTTCATCTTATTTAAATTTTTTTTATGATTATTATTTTTATTATTATTAGATGATAAAATATGAATAGTATTTTATGTGTGACTAATTTTTTAAAAAATTTTCATAAAATTTTCAAATAAAACGGATGGTCAAACGTTGGACACGGATTTCCACGGCTGCTGAGACGGAGGTAGTACGTGCTGGTGGCCTGGTGCTGCTTCATGATGTGATCCTTAACGGTGAGGCTCGGTCAGGGTCGCGTGACCCGGTCCGCCGCCGCCGGTGAGCGCGCGGACAGATGCCTAGCAAGGGCATTAGCACTGTGTAGTATTTTTCTAAGGAGCCTAAACAGCCACGTACGAAGCCACGTACGAAGAAACAGCGTGAAGCTCCTCTCTCCACAATGCGGCGTGGGCGCGTGTCTTTAGGTGGACCCCACCAAACTGTTTCTCATGCGGGCCCCACCACAAAAATTTACTTTTTTGGGTCAGCTTCTCCCCCTTCTCTCTCTCTGTCCTGCTTTCTCATGTGTAAATGCGATTAAAAAAGCTGTTTTTCTGATGAGGCTCTCGGAGCCAAATGAGGACGCGCGAAGCTGGTGAATACATGGGCCCCACCTTCTTTTCTTCTCCACGTATACAATCTGTTTAGCTGGACAGTTGAGACCAAATGCCATGTAGATGCATTGTGAATGGCCTAACGCCTAACAGGTCGAATCGATCGTTCTGGACAGCCTCGCCCGTCCACCAACAGTGACCTTCGGCCCGATCGATTGAGTTGACAGGATTCTGGTTGCTCGCCTCGGCCCCTTGACTGCCGACTTAGGCTTCCGAGCCAATCTCCACTGGCCATTGGCAATCAAACAGCAACACAGTAATACGGCGTCGTTTCGTACCTCAGTTTGTCCCAGCCTTTCGTACGTAGATCGCTGTCGTCCCCGGGCCCGATACTTCCAAAGCTTCATCTTCGATGATTGATCCAGGATCCAGCTGGTCAGATCAGATGGTTGACGCTGTCACGCTGGACTAAGCGAGATATAATGTGTACTTGAGCTGGCATATCAGAAGTTAGAACAGTTCCAACAGAGTTAGCTTTCCATGGCTGGCACCATGGACTTCGTGAACGCGTTACGCATGTATGACGCGCTTAGATTGCTGGTGACTGCCTGACTGTGACTGGTAAGCTCGTGATTACATCGAGGAATTCTTATTTCCGAAATATGCTAGGCCTAGGGCCCAAGCAGGCAACCTGAGGTCGACACTCGACAGTGTTGCTGGATTGGAACATGATAAAAAAAGTCTACTATACATCCCTTAATTCACCGCCGAGTTCTACTCTCATCTCTCAACCATAAAACCAGTGCGAATTGAATCTCGGCAATATTAAGAATGGTTTTTACTGATGTGATGCTTGCATTGCTTATTTGATTTGGTCTTTATCCCATGTGACGATTGACATGGCGCTTGCGTGGCACTATAAGAAAAATTTAAATATATTGTGGGACCCATAGTCACTGGGTGTTTGTTTAAAAATTTAAAAATGTAGTGGGACCCACATGGCCACATGTTATCAACCCTTTCTCTTCTCCCTCGGTGCATTAGAGCAAGTTTAATAGTATAGCCCACTACTAGCTCCAATTTATATATAGCCAATTCATACAATAGTTGCTTACTATACTATTAATATATGGTCCCACCTGTCATACACACATTGTGTCTTGGAGTATGCGCTACAGCTAGCTACAAATCTGTAGCCCACTGCTCTTCTCTTTTATCATTTATCTCATTAAAATATGTTTACAGCTGGCTAATAGCTTGCTATTGTACTTGCTCTTAGAGCAAGGATAGTAACGTAGCCAGCAGCCGGCTGAAAGCCACTGCCATGTCACTTAGCCATGCTTTAAAAGCTCACCTGTATAATGGGTTGACTATAAGCTGACTGATACGTTACCTAATTAAAACATCTAAGCAATTAATATATGCATGTGCAAAGCATCTGTTGTGGAGCAGGCACCGGCTCAATCGCCAGCACCGAGTTGGGAGCGGGCGTTTTGCCTCGGGTACGACGCTTCGAGCCGGCGACTCGCGACTCGCCCATTTCCTTCTCTTTCTTGGTTTCTCGCTCCTCCACGTTGGATTTGGATGACGCAGCGGTTGATTTCGCCAGCTGACTGTACATTACTATACTTGCTCTTAGTTTAGACTTCAGGTGTCGCCGCCTCACCGCATCGGCCTCGAGAACGGCACGCTAACCCCAACGACTCACCAATACTTAATTCTTGATCAGTTTGAACTCCTGTCTCCCGCTCCCTAAACTCCAAGAGGCACACCACGCATTCCAGTAACCTCTATTCGTATCGTGCGTTAGCGTGTAGTAATCCTTCGTGAGCTGCTCGTTCTTGCTGGTGATGTCCACCCGTGGCGGTGAGGACGCTGAGGAAGACCTACGATTGTTGTTGTTGGAGGTGCTCATCATAGATGCTGGAGGTAGAGGACACAGGAATGGAGTGAACGCGACATTGACATGCTATCGTAGGATTTGGAGGAATAAAGTGTCCGGGAGGCCTTGCTCGTCTTGTTGGAGGTTTCTGCTAGTGAACTCCCACCAACCCGACATCAGCTCACCACTAATGTGTCCTGGCGAGAAGGGGAGGGAGAGGAGGGAGGGAGAGAAAGGGGTGATGACATATGGGTCGTACCACATTTTTAATTTTTTTAATGGATACTTATGTGTATTTTTTTAAATTTTTATCCTCCCAAGTACGCATTGCGTCAACGCTGCACCAAGTTAAACAAGCCATGTAAGTGCCACATGAGTCAAAACTGCTCTCAATACTATCGAGGGACTTGGTCTACAATGGTTTTAGAGGTGGGGATACTCTGTATCTGAGTTTATGGTTGAGGGACACGAATAAAATTCAACCTCTACTTGAGGGATGTAAAGTGGCTTTTGATATCTTAATGGGATACAATGCCTTCAACATAACAATGGGCTTCTTTGAGTCTATTTAAAGCCCAAATTATTGGGCCCAAATTTAGTAGTAGATGAGTCCAATTAAAATCGGAAAAAGTCCACTTTGAGTTCTTTAAAAAGTAGGCCAAATCTAATTCCTACCCTTCAATCAGAAAATCGGATAGGACGACTCCCCGAACTATTAAAACCAGTGCAATTTTACTCCTCCAGCGGTTTTGGAGGGTGGTTTTGCTGACGTGGTGGTGTTGACCCGGTTTTCGTCCCACGTGGTGCTTATGTGGCATCAGAACTAAAAAAAAAATGTGGGACCTATTTGTCATTCTCAGAAAAATAATGTGGGACCCACTGACATGTGGGGCCCACATGTCATCCTTTCCCTCTCTATTCCTTCTTCCTCCTCCCCCCTCCCTCTCCCTCCCTTATCTCTCTCTTTTATTTCCCCTTCGGCCGTGGCGGTGGCGGGCGGGATGACGGGTGCGGCTGCAAGAGGAGGGGACTGCGGGGAGGATGGCCGGGGACGGCAAGGTCGAGGTACACGACGGCTGGTCCGCACCGCCGGTCGCCACCATCGCCTCATCCCAGATGGTGTTCACCACAATTGAATCGACGGAGCACGCGGCGTCTGCCGAGGCGGGGAGAGCTGGAGCGACGGCAACAGTGGGCGCGGACCAGAGCTGTAGCGGTGCGTCCCGTGGTTTTTGGCGGCGGCTGCGACCGAGAGCGGTGGCGGCGGACGGGCGAGGGCCGGTCGCAACGCCGCCGAGCTCGTGTGCGCCCTCCGCGCCGTCCTACTACTCCTCTACCTCCGTCGCCGCCTGCCAAAGCGCCGCCGCCTTTCGAGGCTATCGCCGGGGGTGGAGAAGGGAAAGGGGAGAGGCGGCACCGCCGAGATCTCGCCCGCCCTCTATCGCCGAGCTCGGATGCGTCCTCCACACCGTCGAGCTACTCCTCTATCTCCGCCACCGCCTGCCGAAGCGTCGCCGCCGTCCGAGAAGGGAGAGGGGAGAGGCAGCGCAGCGAAAGGTGGGGAAGGAGACGCGGACGGCGACGACGACATCGAGATGGCGAGGCAAAGCTGGAGGGGATGGTGGACGCTCCAGCGCTCACCTCCCACCCGCCACCGCCGCTCCAGCCCTCGCCCACATGCCGTCGTCGCCGCTCCAGCGCCTGCCGCCGCTATCACTCTGGCCCCGCCCGCCCACCCCCACTCCAGCCCTCACCCGCACGCTGCTGTCGCCACTCCGCCGCCGCCCGCCGCCGCCGCCGATGAGGCTCTCGCTCCCCGCGTGCGTCCGAAGAGGAAGAGAAAAGGAGGAGAGAAAAGAGAGAGAAGGAAGAGAGAAGGGAAGGAGAAAGAATGACATGTGGGCCCCCACATGCTACGTGGGATGAAAACTGGGTTAACACCGCTACGTCAGCAAAACCACCCTTCAAAATTGCTAGAGGAGTCAAGTTGTACTGGTTTTAATAGTTCGGGGAGTCGTTCTATCTTATTTTCTTGTTAAGGGGTACAAATTAGATTGGCCTACTTTAAGGGAGTTAGAGTGGACTTTTTTCCTTTAAAATGCAAACGGCGAAGAAAACTATCATGTAGATATTTCTTAATGTGATCACCTCATTCCTCTTCTCCGCGTCATTGGAAACGCGACGCAAGCTACTCCGCATCTACTTCCCGGGGACCTGCCAAATGGTGTGTCCTCCCGACCCGACGCGCCGGTCTCGACAGCGACAAACAGTACATGCCGCCACGCGCGCCTACTTGATTTCATTTGGCTATCGTCCGGCCGCACGCCATGGACGCGCGCGCTTCGCGACCCCGTCAACCGCCTGCGCTGAGCTGCAGCGACACCATCACCGATTCAGCTAGCATCCACATCGGCAGAATCGTTTCACGTCACGTCCACCCGTGCACGCATCTCGCTAGGCTAGCATTACATATAGCCAGCAGCGCATGGTCACCACCATGATCAACTCTCGAGAAAAATCGAGCAGCTAGTTAGTTCCTCACTTCTAGGGATTCGCTTTGGCTACGTACATTGGTGTACGATGGCGTCGTCTCGCTCCGTCGTGCTCCGGGTGCTGGTCGCGGTGGCCGTCGTGGCAGCAGCCGGGGCGCCGCGCCTCGCCGTCGCGGACTCGCCGCCGCTTCAGGACATCTGCGTGGCCGACCTGCGGGCGGCGACAGCGGTCGACGGGTTCCCGTGCAAGCCGACGGCGTCCGTGGTGAGCGACGACTTCTTCTGCGACGCCATCGTCCAGGCGCCCAGCACGAGCAACCCGTTCGGCGTCAACTCCACGCGCGCCACGGTGTCCGCGTTCCCCGGCCTGAACACGCTGGGCCTCTCCATCACGCGCACCGACCTCGCGCCCGGCGGCCTCAACCCGCCGCACTCGCACCCGCGCGCCTCGGAGCTCGTGCTCGTGCTCAGCGGCGAGGTCATGGTGGGGTTCACCACGGCGGCCAACCGGCTCTTCTCCAAGGTGGTCAGGGAGAAGGAGCTCTTCGTCGTGCCCCGCGGCCTGCAGCACTTCCAGCTCAACGTCGGCGCCGGCAACGCGTCGTTCGTCGCCATGTTCGACAGCCAGTCGCCCGGCCTCGTCACGCCGACCTTCGCGCTCTTCGCGACCCAGCCGGCCATGCCGATGGAGGTGCTCGCCAAGACGTTTCTCATGGGCGAGGATGAAGTGGGCGCCATCAAATCTAAGTTTGCCGGCTTCTGACCGTGATGGTCATTGGTTTAGCAGCGCAGATCGATGGCAGATGCTATATTGCTAATGCTGCCCCCCATTCTTTTGTGTGCGTTCGTGTGTGTATTTGTTTGTTTTTCATGGGTATATTATAAGTGGCATTTGTTTGCTACTACATCGTCTAAATTGTGTATCTGAAATGAATTTCAGTGCGAGATCTGTGAAATGAATCTACTATATTGTGCTGTGCATATAGTGATACTGATGTGTAATGTGTTCCATCTGGAAATTAATGCAAGGTGTGATGTGTGATTGATTTCTATGATTTACACCATTGACCTCTTCCTTTCATTGTCTTTTTGGCTGATGAACAGTTATCTGAAGTTTATCCTGTAAACCCTGGCAACAAAATATGTTGATCTCCAAATGTGGTTTCTAAGCACCAATCATTTTGTGTGCTCATTTGCCATTTTCCAAGTCGCTAAATGGAGAAGGGATAACGCTTTCAGGTCTTAACCAACTTTATTATCAGATTTTAAAACGAAAGCTTAAACATTGACCTCCACACTGGCCCTCCATGGAACCAGAAACATGAACAGTTGAGCACAACTGAAAAACCAAAGTGTGACACCGAACACGTCGAAGTCGAGCTGAAACTTAAAAAAGAGGATACAACACGTACACTTTGGCATCAGTGCCAAAGACGACACATGCTTCTTATACCGTATTACTGGTAGTCACTCCCAGTTCCAGGCTTGTAGGTGCTGGTGTCCTTGCCGGCAGCGGCGTTGTTCTTGTTATCGCCTGACATCCCGAGCGTGTACATCACCGCGTCCTTCGCCCCCACCGCCACGCTCTTCACCTGCTCCCCTGCCTGCACACCAAGAGAGCGTTTTTTTGCAGCAATTAGCATGAATGTTTAACAAAATAGAATGGTTAGGAAAAGAACACGATCTGCGAGTGCTAATGAACCTGCTGGAGCACGGCGCCGGTCTTGTCCTTGCCGGCGATCGCGGTCTCCTTGGCGTACTGCGCGGCGCCGGCCGCTTTCTGCTTGGCGGCCTCGGCGGTCTGTCCAATGTAGCTCCCGGTCTGCCCGGCGCCGTCGCGGGCGCGGTCGGCGGCGGACTGCGCCGTGTCAGCCGCCCTGTCCTTGGCATCGTACGCCTTGTCCCTCGTGGCGCCCGCGGCGCCGCGGCCCTTGTCCATGGCGCGGCCGGTGGCGTCGGAGGCCGCGTCCTTTGCCTCGTACGCCTTCTCCTTGGTCGCGTCCTTGGTCTCGTACGCCTTCTCCTTGGTCGCCTCCTTGGCGCCGTGTCCCCTGCCCATCGCGCGCCCCGCGGCGTCGGACGCCGTGTCCTTGGCCTCCCGCGCCTTCTCCTGCGCCGTGCCCATCATGCGCCCCGTCTTCTCCTGCAACGCACGAAACAAGCAAACAACAAATGTAAGCGCACGCGCAACGGATGGGACAAACGTGGTGGTGTACGTGCGGTGCGCGCGCGCGGATGCACGAAGGGAAACCTCACCTCGGCGCGGGCCTTGGTCTCGCCGGCGTGGTAGCTAGCCCGTTCCTGCTGAGAAGCCATCGCAAACTTGGCTGGAATCACTCACCAACACACGAACTGAAACTACGCTGGATCGAGTCACACACACTCTCAAGTCTCAAAAGGCTGGTTAATACGGATGCTCTTGCCTCTTGCCTCTTGCCTTGTGACGAGCAGCTTGAGGCTATCCGTGCATTTATAGGACCGTTGAGACTTGAGAGTTTGGATGAGGAGGTGCACGTGTCGCGCATGGGCATGTGCTGCGCGGCCACGTAGGGGGGACACGCGTTGTGGCCGGCGGAGGTGTACCAGGTGTCCGGGTTTCGCTGGTACTCCGAACTGGCGCGCGCCGGGGAGCAAAAGACAGAGAAACGGGATACGACCGAGAGGATAGCGGCAAAGGCAAAGGGAGGACGCGGCGGATGGGCTCGCGCATCGAGGCGCGCGGGTCGGCCGCGTGCGTTCCGTGCGCGGTCGTGCCGCGATGAGCCTCGTGAAGCCGGTGGAGATGGGCGGCTTGTGAAATGCGATATGCGGCTGTGAGATCGCCACACCGAGCCCTTTTCCGCCGGGTGGCGCGTGTCCCGGAGCATGTGCTGTGCTTTCTTTGCTTCAGAATTTTAGATAGCTTCGCATGCAGAACAGTGGCAGGTCCGCCTCAGGGAGTCAGGGGTGGTAGTGCCGTGAGTCGTGTGACTGGTGGCCGGGAGGCCGGAGTTGTTTTGTGCAAAGCACTTGGAGTCGACGGTCACCTATCGAATCTGAATGTGGAAGTTCCATTCAATTATCGTGGCAAGAAGGCCAGAGGCGTCCCCGCATCGGGGGTGGCGTGTGCTTAGCAACGGGCAGAAAAACATAGCGACAGTCTCCACCTCGAAATATAAGATATTTAGAGCAGATGTGATATATTATAGTAGAATAAATATGCATAAAAAACTTGTCTGGATTCGATTCATGGTACTGGTACATGTCGAATCCATCCATAATCCCTTATGTTTTAGAACAGAGGGAATAGTTTATAACTGTATACTACTAAAACAATTCTTTTTCTAACTTTCATAACTTCTACTCTCTTATTTTTTACTGACATATTTTCCAAACTATTAAACGGTGTAATTTTGTAAAAGTTTTCTATAGGAGAGTTACTTAAGAGAATCATATTAATTTATTTTTTAAGTTTTTTAAACTAGTACTTAATTAATCACGTGCTAATGGCTAATACTTTTTTTTTTGGGAAGTCCTCCCAAACGCAGCTAGTAGTAACTTCATCAAGACTTAAGGTGGGTCTAATTTTACTTATTCTATTCATCTCAGTATATAGTAACTTAGAACATGATTTAATATATCCAGTACTACGAATCTAGACAACAAGATTTAGGCTGTGTTCGGTAATGCAGGATGTGAACCTATCCCTCCTGCACGCAAAACGGAGCGGTCTTTTAACACGTGATTAATTAAGTATTAGCTATTTTTTTTAAAAAAATGGATCAATATAATTTTTTAAAGCAACTTTTGTATTGAAAATATTTTTAAAAAACACACCATTTAGTAGTTTGAAAAGTATGTGCGCGAAAAACGAAGGTGGTGGGTTGGGAAGATGGACTGCCCAACTCAGCCTTAACATGTCTAGATTAGTAATAGGGGATATATCAATCCATTCTTGAGTTGCTATATAATGGGATGGCAGAAGTGAATATATGGCAATTGTTGCAATGCAGTATATGTGACAAAAGAAAAGCATTAAGCCGGATCTCACATAATTAAAGAATCTTACTTTACATATAAACCAGTACTACTTTTTTTGCCGGTAAGAGAGATGGAGGGAAAAGAGTCAAATATGATCGATTTGTTTTCTCCCTATGACTCAAGCTTGCAGCTAGCCTCAAGCTTAAAGCCACCTACAAACTTTCCCACAATATATATGTGTACTTTCTCCGGGCTGATAATATTAGTCGTTTTGGACAATGATAAAGTCAAACTTTAAAATCTTTGACTACAAATAATTTCTAAAATATTTATCTTAAAAATATGAAAACCATATGGTTAGATTAGTCTTAAAAAGTACTCTAATAAAATCATATGTTTGTTGATATTTTTATATATATTATAATAGAAAATAGTTGTTAAAGTTACTTTTTAAAGATCATGTTTTTGTCTAAAACGATAAGTATTATCAACCCGGAGAGAGTATAAGGTTGATTTTAGGTTTTAAGGTCCATCTTATGTCCAACATCGTGGATAGCTGTTGGATGGAGATCAAAAGTCCAGGAGTCACTTAAGTAACGTCCAAAGTACTGTTACGAAAATGCTGTATAGTAGATGAGATTTTTTTAATGTCCTTGGAAAATATTACTCAAGCAGATTATATTGTAGCAGGCTAGCAGCAAAGTTGAGCAACTAATCGTGGATTCTCGGAATGGACGACTGAGATAATGCGTTAGCCCCTTGTCTTGCACGATGCTGATGCACGTGACAAGTAAAACGTAGGAGTACAGAGTGAGGAGGCAGAGGAGCTGACGGCTGAGAATTGAGAAAGGTTCCACAATTGCGAGCAACTATCAACCCAATGATTGCCAGGGTTTCCCAAACTGCCGGGGCGCGCGGTAACCGCGGTAACCGTGAAAAACCGTGCAAAATTCATCAAAAATTTAAATTATTTTTTAAATTTATTTGAATTTAAGGAGGTTACTGCGGTATTTACATTACCGTACCCCCGCGGTAAGCCGGGTAACCGTACGGTTACCGGCGGTATGGTGAACCCTGATGATTGCTACCTCGAGTGATTCGATCATACCGGCCGATAGCAAGTGTAATACTGCCATGGCCCATGGTGCAATTACCCAAGGCCCATTGTCACACTCCTCAAGGCAGCCCAACAAGGAGATCTAGATTAGGTGTGATTTTCTTATATCATCATCAACAGTCTATCTATCTGATTCCCAAAACTGATTTTGAGGAATTTTAGTCTAAAAACTAGCTCCAACAGATACTCTACTCTCCTACCGAGTTTTGGAGCTCCCTACTCCCAATTCCTCGCTCCGTTATATATGTGGGCGTGAAACTCGCTCCCAATCTCGTACTCCTGTTTCTCTCCTCTCGTTCCCGCACGTGGGAGATAGCGATATTTTTGCGCATGAAAGAAAAAAAACAAAATTTTCTGTTGGTAGTTTAACAGAAGGGCCTACTTTTAAGTTTTGGGGATTGAATTTAGGCTATCTGTTAAAGCTAGGAGTTTTTTCACTTCCTATTTTCAGTTTAGAAAACCCAAAAACAATTTTTGGGGAAAGATTATAGGTAATCTGTTGGTGATGCTCATAGTGACTGCAAGGTAATAGCGCTAATCCTAAAAAAGAACTTCGAGGTACTACCAACAAATCCAACTGAACATGCCACCTGCACTAAACTATTTTAGACTATCTTCATTTGAGGCCTGAGCATAATTAAGGCATGTTTAGTGTCCAGTCACACTTTACCATTACTTGCCAATAAAAATTGTCATACCTTGTCTAAGGTGAGATGATCAAATTCTTAGTCACAACTTACTAAGTCTAAGGGAATCTTGCCACACTATTTTCAATCATTGACACGTAGAACCTAATTTCTTGGAAGAGAATCTTATCATAACTATGGCTACAATCAAACACCTATCAAGTTTGCCTTACCTTAGGTGTGATAAACTGTGACTTACAACCAAACGCACTTTTAATCTTTTGGAATATTATAGGAAGGGATCCTACTGCAGTGATGCCACACACTGCCTTGAGCACAATGACAAATAACTCCACCACCTTTGACACATCGTCATTGCCGCTGTCCTGTTACCCCTCCACCCCTAACCAAGCATGCTGCCATCCCATATCTGGCGTGGTATCACAGGGGAATTGAGGAGAAGAAGCATTGTTTCATCGCTGCCTATGCTATCAGCCGATCACTGGGCCGTCTCTAGCTGCTTCGTCAGCCTCCTCCTCCACCCCTACCAATGGCGGCCTGGGAGATCAGCTCGTGACGGTTGGTATCCTCCCTACCTGTCCTATACTACTATGAGAGTAAGATTTTCTGGCCGGTCGCCAAAGTAATTAAGCAAAGTTAACAGCGTATTAGACCTCTTCCATATTTTTTAGGCTCCCTCCATGTCTACATTTTGGCCCCGCCACCGAGCGTTGCTAAGAAATAATTGGTCATAAGTGTGGTATGGTTGGTTCCAAATTTAAAAGTATGATAGATGGGTCCTTAGTCTAAGAAAGTTTGACACAATATAATTGTGATAGCGGAGCAAACACGTACGTAAAAACCTATGACATGACTAAAATGTAATGTGGCAAAGGAAGGCAACCAATGAAGAAACCCTTTCTTTTCCTTGTGATTCACAACAACCGCATAGAAGTTTTTTTTTAAAAAAAAAGAAAATACACATGCCTTTCACTTTACCGTGTCATGTATTCTGTGTATCTGGCTCTTGCTTTAGCTCAATTACGCTGTACAAATATCTTTTATCTTTTTCTCTAGACACCTAATTTATACAAATAAATCATGCTATGACATAGCGCAAGCGCGTGACGCATTAGGCAAATTCCATAGAGGGCAAGAGTGCGATGCATTAGGCACATTCCGCATAATGATTTGTAATGTCTCTTAGACTGGTCGCTATAGTGAAAAAAGGGTGCTACAATGATCTACCCAAAGATCTTAGGTCAGACACTTGAGCTATAATGAATTCTTATTCAACACATTAATTATCTATATAGCAGACATGTCTATATCCTATGTGATACCGTAGAGGATCTAAATTCCCTATGAGCACTGTAGGTCACCTTAAAATTTCGAGCTTCTCCGTAAGATCCAGGATATCTCATGATCATGAGTAGGTATAGCACAAGATAGTTGAAGCTAAAATTAATTGTCATGATTAATATACATGTATAATACATGAAAATAAAATATAAAGAAACAAAATTTTGCATATACTCATGAGTAAACAAATATAAGATGAAAGGAAACAAGGTTTTCCTTACAAAACTTATACAAACATTCATGTAGCTGTGAGTCAAATGCAGATTTTTGTAACTCTCATCTAGTTAATTGAAACGGTTGAATTTTGTTTGTAAGAGTTTCGTAAATTATTTTAAGTATGTGTAGCATTGCTCGAGATGGAAATATGTAGTGTAAGTATGGAACTACGTACCTCTCTGTTTTTTCTCTGTCGTCCCACTTCTCGGAATAGGTGTGGGTGGGGACTGGAAGTAACTTCCCATGGTTAACTGTCACTAAAGGTCCCTTTGAAATGAAGGATTAGCAAAGACATTTTGGATGATTTATTTTTCTAAGGTTTTTTTTCCCAATAGAACCCTTTGATTCATATGAAGGGGATGGAAAAATTTCCATAGGATTTTTTTTCCTATGGTCAATTTCATAGGAAAATAAGTAAGAGGTTAGACCTTATGTAAAACTTTCCTTTATTAAGTGTTTCTTATGGTGTAACCAAATGGCTCTTCTTTCCGTTTCCTGATTTCTCAATTTTCGTAGGATTGAAAAAACATACTACTTCAATTTCAATTCCTATGTTTTACTTGTTCTTGTATTTTTCCTTTCGTGCATTTCAAAAGGGGCCTAACTCTACTTCCTACCCTGTTTTCCCTCCAAAACGTTGTTGCTACAAGTTAGAAAAGGTAGATCAAGGTAGGCAAAAGATAATGAGTTGATTAACCATGAAAGTTTTTTTGTTTGGTGGATGGTCAGATTGGTTGATACTGTACTACCTAAGTGCCAACTGCTGTAGGGATTGCAAGTTTGCAACCGGTCCCGCGGATTGCCAAATGCTGAACAGCTGAAGGTCCAAGCCCCTTCTAAACAGCTCTTCAGATCCTAAACAGGGCTAAAAACTTGGCCTTCAGAACAGGGAGTAGCCAGTATTTCCTGCAAGTCCCTGATTCGCACGTTATGGCTTCTCAAGTACAAATCATGCAAGCGTGCTTCGAAACTTTTCGATGATCAAGCAGGAGTATAATATCTTGACTTTACTAGCTTGGCTTCTCAAAAGTTAGGATTCAGGATATGGTTGCCACCCAAAAGAGAAGCAAAATATAGTTGCTTAGACTCACCCTGGGTACTACTGTACTAGGTAGCCAAGTCCAAGGTAAATCAGTTGAGATTACAACGGTACAGTAGGAAGACAACAGTAGCATGGACCCGATGGATCTTTTGATTAATCAAAGCTTGATGCATGAGAAAATGGTTGTCTACCCCCATTGACATGGTTTTCACGGCAGAACTCACTGTTCACTTTTTATAGTCCTGGACTCATGTAAAGCAAAGCAGAAGACCGTCCAAACAAAATGACAGGATCCACTGCCCTTACTGTACATTAAGCCTGGTGAACTTCTTGCAAAATATCAGAGATCTGGAGATAGGCGGCATTTGATCATGGAAGTGATGCGAGGTATCCCCAAATCCTCCCAAACCGTATAGTGTACGCAGCAAAACTACCTGCAGGACTGCTCCGTTCTGAAAAGAGGTCCCATCTTGTGTTTTCTGGTCCTGCAGAACAGTAATGATGAATGATTAGAAGTTATACATGCATAATGCCTTACAGCCTCACTGCCTCAGCGATGTAGCTTTGCTCCACTTCGCCCAGCAGTATCTTGAGAAAGAAAGGAAAACCCAAAATAAAATGGCACGGAGATTTCATTTCACTATCAAAATAAGAGCACAGGAAGTCAAGCACCACCAGAGAACTACCTGAAGAGCCAAGGCAATCAAAAGCTAACTGACTGACTTTTCACAGCTTGAGCAGTATGAACTACAGGTTGCACAAAAGGGAAGCAGAGAAATAGTTTTGAATATGAAAAACGTTCCAGTAAGGCATTAACCGCATTCTTGCAAAAAGTATCAAAATCAAGCAAACTGAGAAGCAAGGAAGTTGCCTCACTAAAAATATCGGGTGCAGAAATGATGCTTCTGAATTGAAGTGCAAACTAACCACTGATAGTGCTCTTACTGTTCTCATCTATGTAAGCCCTTGTGCATATGTAAGAAAAGTTTCATCATACCACCATGCTTTTCCCTCGAGTCAACAAGAATGTGAATTCATTTTCTCCTGCACCATATTTCCTCCTAGTAGTATGTTACAGAGTATCTTATTTTCTTGACTAGAAAGCTATACTCAAGAATCTTGGCCAATATCTAACTCTAATAGTTTGAAATGGACCTTGTACTATGTGGCAAATAGATCATCTCCGTGCAATCTCAGAGTAACCCTTGCACGGCCACACGTGCACTTCCGATGTAACATTGATGAGGATATGGTATGACGCCGACATATGCCCATCATTCCTTAGCTTCTTTGCATGTGTAGTTATGCTGTTCAAGAAAGACTTTTGTACGTGGTGTCATCACACATGAAAATAGCAAGGTAGTGGGGATGCCAATTTCTGTAATCCTACAGCACTTGGCGCTGTGCGCAGCTAGCTGCTAGCCTATGGTTGGATTATAAAGCAGTGACCCAAAAATTTTTCTCCTGTTGTATGCATTTGGCTCTCAGAATGCTGCAAGCCAACAGATAGATGAGTCAACTTCATAGAGGTGCTCGCTGCCTAGGATGACATAATGAGCGGCCAACAACAAAACTGCATCTTGGTCGTGATCATTTGCACAGCTGGTAGTACAGTGGATACGTGGGTAGTTAGGTCATAATATAGTCCATAAACAGAATGCGCATGCAACCATATGTAGCAGAAGGACGGCGTAGATGTATAGCAAGACAAATCAGCAGAATATGTATCTGCATATGCCACTGGTATGAACAAATCTAGATAGGGAAAATCTCAAACAGGATCCCCACAAGGCCACAAGACAATGGGCAAGTTATTTTTCCTTTTGACCGAAGGATCCATTAGTGGGGGGTGCTGTTGCACTTGCACTTGCAGTTCCCTCCAATTACATTGTATTTTCCCCACTCCCTGTCCCCTAGCACACTGTGAAATAGCTGTAGTGTGCACTCGCTCCACTTATTACTGCTCTCTCTTTAGCATTTAGCCATTTACCATATGATAGTGGATGCACTATATCAATTTTTAGGTTCTCTATTTAATAAATTTTCTCTCCTGGGATGGTTTTTAGTATGCTAGTACTGTAACTATTAAACATTTTATATTGTACTTCCTCCGTTTCATATTATAAGACTTAATTGCCCACATTCATATAGATGTTAATGAATCTATACACACATATGTGTGTATAGATTCATTAACATCTATATGAATGTGGGCAATTCTAGAAAGTCTTATAATATGAAACAGAGGGAGTACAAAATATGTACCATTGATAATTTTCAGAGGTAACTTCCATGCTGTAGCAAACTAGCAATTACCAGAGGTCTGCAGTCTACTCATCATCACTATGCCATGACAACCTCTTTTTAATACTTTGTGCTTACAAAATAACTGGTACATAACCTAATCATAATCACTTTTTTATAAAAAAATAAGCTACTACTCCAAGTAATTTCAACCATGGTCGGTGTTACCTGCAACTGCAGATCAAGGGTGGAATAAAATCAACAGAACAATGCTTTAATACGCATGTATCAGTCTGTCTTAGCTTTAGTTGCTGAAAAAGCAAATGTAACTTTTCAAGTAGCTTCAGCCAAGTGCAGTTGACCTTGTGTTGTGGGATTATGATTTTCATCATAATCCTGTACAGCAATCATTACTGGTAGACAATATATAAAGTTACAATATTTTTTTCCTTCCCGCTGCCTGACCGTCCATGTATAAAAGGGGCAGAGACACAATAGGTCCTTGCCAACAAATCCTCTGAAAGGAATAACGTTCTGTAAGCAGGGGTCAACATGCCTAAATCCAGATTTTTACTCACCATCATCCTTTTAATACTTCTCTGCAATGCATCTGCTGGTATGATTATTGCTATTTCTTTTGTTCAATATGCTACTGTATTATTAATTATATGTCTAAACAACCTGCTTTCGTCCTAATGCAGGCCAAACCATAGTGATGAAAAATGATATTGCTGCTACTCCAAAGTTGATAAAGGTTTGCCCCCAAAGTTTTCAGCACAGTTTCACCGAGGGAAATATTAACATCTTGGATTAATTATTTCAATTCATATATGTTAGCGCTATTTAACATTTTCCAATTTCCAGCTTTTGATGTGTCCCCTAATGTTGTCATAGTTGGTCACTTACTCACTTTATGCTCCCCTCAATAAAATAATATAGACAACTAATGTATGAAAGTCATATAACAACACCTATTGAAGATAGTATTGTTGACTGCAGCACTAATTTGAACAAATACCATAATTAATAACTTCACATTTCTTTTTTCATTTATATACTTAATTAATTATCCTTGTTCTTTATTTTCTAAATGAAGGGGCATAGTAGAAAGATTCTCACAGATATTCAGGATTATGACTATGGAGGGGCAAACTCTAAACATGATCCACGCAGAAGGCCTGGGATTGGAGGCAGGAGCCGCTAGACATCTAAGCTCCTTCGTACATATCACTGCGTATGATCGTCTGAACTACATGAAGGGGTTATATGAGTCAAACTAGTAACTTTCTGTAGCAAACTTAATATATGAATATCTGGATCCCCTGATGTAAGCTTTAATCGTTATACATCCATATGGATCAGAAAGCCATATAGATATACTCTTATCTTATTGTTAGTCTTTGTTGCATGGACTTAAGACCAGCTTATTTTATAGGGCCTTAGGTGTAATATTAATGCATAGTTCTGAGGGAGTGGATCGTCTATGAAGCCATTTTTTGCGTGATAAATATTGATATTTGCTTGTGAGTTCATACTGTCCTCTTCTATATTTTGATGAAGCAGATCTGCAAACCCCCTCCTACGCACACAAATGACCCACCCAAAAACAAGTCCCCCAACTCTAGGGCATGCTTGTTGTTAGCAAGAACAATCGTCATAGCAAACGAGGATAACAGATAAATTGGAGGGAAAAGCAGGACTTAAAAAAGGTCATTTGGCAAGTAGGCTGTGAAATATACTTACTGTAGAGCATGAGGTTTATTCAGTGCCCTTCTTCTTTAATAAAATAAGGACCAGGCTTAATAGGATAAGGATAAAGGTAGCCTTCCGGCCGAGAAAACCCAGCTTCATTCATGCGGTCACTGAGCACATGTAGTATAGGTTTTTTCAGTCCATACTCATGCCTGTTCTTTTCAAGATAAGAGTTAGCTTCCTCAGCCACCTCTATTGTGAAAGCAAATCTATTCTCTTCAGATAACATCAGCTGGTTGATGTCCAAGCATATGATCTTCCCATTTTCCCTAACTTTTCTCACTTTCTCTTCTAAGAAAGGGACACGTTCCAACTTGTACCGCAACATGTCATCCTCTTTGGTCTGCAAGGACGCATATATCAATTATATACATGGAAATCAGAAAAGAATGTGAAGTAAAGCATGGCAACAACACCCAATGTCACCTTTTCGAATGTTTTTATGTGGTGACATGCTCAATAGTGATGCAAACAATGAAGACATGGCTGGCATACAACTGCCTGGCAGCCTGCTTAACTGTTGGGCATGGTCATGCCATGCTGAATATGATACTTGGTTGACATAAAATAAACGAAGGCTGACAAGCTAATAGCAAGTGGTGGGGCACAGTTCCAGTCTCCCTTGCTCAAAAGGTTGAACGTAGACATGTATTCTTGAATCTATGCATTATTATTGTCCTATTTAAATTACTGAATTCTACAGCTCTTTATTTCATTCTTCCACATGAGGCACTTTCCATGTGTAACAAACTAGCTCATTTTTTTGGTCGAGCTAGTGGTGATCATGTGTTTTCTAGTTTCAAGTTCAAGAAAAGGTCCCTTACAAAAGATGTGAAGATGTCTGTCTTGCCTATAGCTTGCTAATACACATAGAAGGTAGCAACCTATAGTTACAAAAACATAATTGTGGATTTTAATAATCTGACCAAAAGAATAGCGTGCCTTCAATCAGCGCTACTTTTCGGGCCGTTTTGGTTTGCTATCAAAACTGGGCCATACCAATATTTTGGTTATCAGAACAGTACCACTGAGAGTTTGGATTGTGACCAAATCACTGGTAGTGCCTAGGCTTAATTTGGTAGCAAGGCATAGGCTGGAATTGGCAGCCATCCGTCACCCGCCGGAAGCGCCCAGAAGCAGGCTACACAACTTGGCTCAGCCCAAACTAGTTCACGCACTTCTGTTCAAAAAAAAAAGCTAGGGCTTCATCTTTTCTCTACTTCAATAAATACCCAGCCACTACTCGTCTCCTCGGCTGGCCGCCTCACCGCTCTGCTTATTCTGCAGCAAATAGTACCAAAGCTATTACAGCACAAAAAAAAAATTTGGTGATCCTTCATTGGTACCAATCCAAATGGAAATTGACCCATAAAAATTTGGCACTTCATTGGCACTAATCCAAACACTCATATTTACTGTGCTACCCTACCAAAATCTTGGTAGTGCCAAAACTTGCCTAGGTTTTGGCACTACTAAAATTTTGGTAGGGTACCAAACCAAATAAGCCCTTCAATTTTTCATGCTCCCCTTTTATGCTAGTACTGTGTTTACAGTGGTTTTGGAATACTTAATAGAGTTAATACATACGTACAGTTACTCTGATATGATATATGTGAACTAACGATGAACAACAACAATGTCCAATTCTAATTATCAGTTGATGTTTATTTAAAACTTTAAAATGATTTGGATAATTGAATACTTTTTGTGTTTGTCTCATGCTCTGACACTGCTAGCAGCCACCAATGTAACCACAAGAGCCACACTACAAAGATGAAGGACAACCAGAGCATGCTGCATCATACTAACAATCTGTGACTTCATATTTTGAGCATAATACTGAATAGCAAATGTCATGGAATCACATGAGAAAAACACTACAAGGGCAAAGGAAGTTTCTTGTACCAACAATTTGTGACTTATTGTTTAGAAACAACCTAAAATAATTGCCTTATTTGGCCAAAAAAAAATGATGCTTTCATCTATCCCACCCCCATGAAGCCTCAGGATTCCTTTAAACGAAAATCTATGCAAGCAAGAGCTCCATAATGAACCAAAACAGGTGCAAATGAAATATCGCATCACATAATCCTCGCAACTCAAAAAAGGGTTTCCGAGGTTTGATACCACATGATAATGGAGTAATGGACACATCCGACGCTTCTCTCTCCTGAACACAACTGACCCCGCTCTACCTTCCCAATCTCATGTAAAAAGAAAGGCAAATGGCATGCGCATTCCAAAACGGAGGCTCGCAGATTATTCAGCGAGAACGTCGTCCATGCCGTCCTAGTTCCGTCCAAAACAATCAACCACGCGGAGATATAGGAGGAGACCTACTCCCTTAGTTCGGCCAGAGAGCATACCAGTTTCCGGCGACGCCACACTCGCCGCCGACCGCTGACTCGCCCGTCTCCGCCGTCTCCCTTCCCACTCCCAGAGTCACCGCTCTGCTTTCTCTACGAGAAATTGGGGAATTAAAAAAAAAAACAAAAGCATGTGAGCCAGGGGAGGAGGACATCGTTAGGGCAGGTTGGGTGAGCTTCCACCTGCGCTCTCATGGATATGGTGATGCCGCTGCGGCCGTTCCTCCCGCTCGCTCGTGGCGTGGGGAGGAGGCCGCCGCCGGCGAGGTGGTGGTGCGCCGCGAGCGAAGCCGCCATTGCCATAGCCATCTCTTCGAGGCTTAAGCTGCGCCCCTCTTCTCTCACCTCATCCGATTTCTAGACGAGCCACGCGCCCCGCTGCAGGAGAGGGAGGGAAAGTGGCACGGCCCACGGCCCATCTCGTGCCCGAAACGTGTCACGGCCCATTTCGAGCACGAGATGGGCCGTGACACGTTTCGGGCAGGGAAGCAGGCGAAGACCTCCTTCTTCTCCACCTCGGCGAGCGAGCAGAGCAGGGAAAGCGGGCGTGGTTGGATCGGCGACGAGGAGCGATGGGGGCGATGGGGAAGCTGAGGGTCTTCGTGGTGCAGGAGCCGGTCGTCGCCGCCTCCTGCCTCATCGCCGGCTTCGGTATCCCCTCTCCTCCCTCTCCGGTCTCCATGATTCGACGTGTGCGTATGTAGTGTACAGCTCCATCCATAGATGACTCTCGTAAGCTCAGATCGGGGAACCCTAGAATGGAATCTACCAGATTCGGAGCCATCAGTCATGGCCCGTCCTGGATCTCCAGGCGCGTTCACCAGGTTCCTCCTAGCTTTGGTTTGGTCAGTACAACAAGGTTGTGTCGAAGAATAATTTTACTGCAACCAATCTCTTTCTGCTTGGTTCATTTTACAAGGAACTTATCAGGACTCTCTATTAGAGTTTTTTCTGTGGGCTCAGGCCGTAATGAAACAAAGATTGAGTGTGTAGGTTTGGGGACTGATAATAATAGATTTAGGCATTTAGCACTGTCACTGCCCTTGACTAAAATTCTGCCTTTTTATAAAGGGGTTGTTTTTTTTCCTCGTCTAGCTCATCGTGTTGAATTTCAGTTGCCAGAGAGCATATGCTCAAAATCAGAAAGGAGATAAGTATTGTCCTGTCTATGCACAGTTTATCAAGTGCCATTCCCTTTCAAATAATATGGCATGCACTTTTTTCTGTGCACATGCTGTTCGTATTATCATGATAATGTATAATCATGGTAAATTGACCTAAACTTACATGATAGGATGTGCGTGGTGCATTCAAATGCATGCGATATTTATTTTGCCCCTGAAACACCAAACTAAGGAGGGGGGAATCTATATGAAGGCTATATGTTTGAATTATTAAATGGCATTCTCACTAATTTGTTGGATGTGCCTCGAACATAACTGCTGCTTTTAAGTTATAGATGTCATATGATTTTTATTTTCCTATTTAGTCATACTATTTCAAAAAATAAACAAAAACTCAAGAGTTCAAGTCATTTTTGTTGCTAAGATAACTGCTAGGCCTAAAATATTTTATTTTTTATTTAAATTAAAGTCGTCCACCATTACCTTTCTAGAGTATTTCTTCTTAAAAAGGCATTACCCTTTTTCTTTTTGTTTGAATGATCACTTGCTTAGTTGCTTAACATTCCTATCTTTCGTTCTAGTTGTCACATGCTAATGTTTAGTATTTATGTTCTTTATTTTGATTTGAGAAGGACTTAGCTCATGTCTAAAGTATATGGGAGTTCTGCATTTTGATGTTTGGTTGTTTTGTATTATTGTATCTTTTATGCTTTTGTTTCCCAAATTATGTCTATGATGAATAAAGGTCAACTGCAACTAACCTCGCATAGTGCTCCAGTTCGCTGTTTTCTACCTTAGGTTGAATACCATATCACCATTTTCTGGCTTTCTTTTTCTACATTGATAATGATACTTTTTTGTTTCTTGGATTAACCTTGCTAGTGGCAGCTAGCAGTCGCACTTTTTTATGAAAGTAACAATAATTGTCTATTTCTCCCTCTATTTTTCTGCTTCTGCAATGAATGCATGATTGGGTTTCTTTCTTGTGTATTATTACGTTGTGAAGAGACCTAGCACATAATCTGAATTCATAAATGAATATATATATATATGTGTGTGTGTGTGTGGTGTGTGTGTGTGTGTGTGTGTGGCATTTACTAGTATCACTTGGATCTTTTTTAAATATATGCCTTTTTATGCTCTTTAGAAGACTAATAGACCCAGCAATTTTATGCACTAACTGTAGTTTGTTTGTTGGAAATATCATAATTTTGTGTTATTTGTTTGTTTGTTTGAGCAGATCATTTTATGTTGTAATTCATCAACTTGTATCTACAAGGAACCTCACGATTGTGCCCCTGCAATTTCAGGTCTTTTTCTTCCAGCTGTTGTTAGGCCCATACTGGATTCATTTGAGACTGCCAAACAAGCTCCCCCAACCAACTCTCAGTGATGTATGTGATTTTGTCTTCTGCGGCTTCATTTTGTTGATATTGGTTGCTCCAAATCCATTGAAAATGAAGTATTGGTTTCTCTTGACTTACGAATATAATGATTTTATACCATCATTGACTTTTCCAATTATGGTGAATTATTTGAATACTATGCCAGTTTTACCATGTTTTTCTTGTGGCATTCAATTTCATGACAATGATGTATTCATTAATTCAGAGCAGCTTAAATTAGTTGCCCGAGAAATTGTTGGAGCTTTAGTCTGAGTATTATAGAATAAATAGTCCACGATAATTCACCTAGCTTTTGTTTTCCTTTTCTTTAGGTTTTGTATTCCATAAATAAGGCAGCAAGCCAGAAAGACGATGAACCCTGTAGATTGCAGTTTTGCTCACACAGTCACAACGCTGAAATTCTCTCTCTTTCTATTGGTTATGGACTCTGTTAATTTATCGAGATTGTAAGTTACGTCAGTAATCAATTGCCTTTTGCTACTGGCACATGTGGTTCCTGGTACCGCTGGCAAGAAATAAAGAGTTCATATTGTGTTTGGGCATTTAATGTGAAACCATTTTCTTTCTAATCTTCGCCCCCGTGTACTTTTGTTACTTCGTCCAGTAACATATGATTGGCTCTCACACACATATCACGTGCGTCTGGTGCCCATCACAATTTCCGCCGCTATATTTGTAGTTTTGTCAAAATAATGACTATAGATTAAGTTAGTTTTTCAACCCACTGCATGCATGTAGTTTTAGAGAAGTGACAGATTTTTGTTTCTTGTATGCAGATTATCGAACATCAGTATCTATCTCAATGCTTTTTAATTCTCCTTGTGGGGCACCTATAAAGATGAGTGGATTACTGATGTCAGTGTCGATACGTGGCAACCTTGGGTGAATAGGCTGCTACTTTTGTCCGTTTGGAGCTTGAATTGTTGAATACTTTGTGCTTCTCCCAGCGTGGAATGTTGAAAAATGAAAACACACATAGCCCTCGTGGCGATTTGATCAGTGTCTGATGTCGCAGACCTTAAAGACGTTGATCGTTGAGCTTACGCTGCGATGACATATGCTCAAAATTAATCAGATGGAATGTTGAAAAATGAAAACATCCATAGCCCTCGTGGCTATTTGATCCGTGTTTGATGCTGCAGACCTTGGAAGACGTTGATCGTTGAGCTTACGCTGCGATAACATATGCTCAAAATTAATCAGGTTTTATTGTCAAATCAAATGCATCATGTCTCGGATTCCTTTGTCATATGCTCGAAATTAATCACGTGTGCCATAAATGCTACAGTAATCTGGATTCCTTTGATCGCTACGGTCTCGAGTCCGGCCATCAAAGTGGATTTCTTCGACTCTAATTTCACGTGGTGCGGTGGACCTAAGCTCCGATACATCCGATGCGCTATGCGGTGTGCCAGCCATTAAAGACGATCTCGTGAGCTTCTTTCTGTATCTATGCTTAAACGAACTCGTACCGCAGCTGGAGACGTGGGCGCGACGATCACAAGGTCACTGTGGATTCGCTGGAGCAATAATGTTGCGTGGTGAGGTGGTGAATCCGATCCATGCATCTGGACAAAGCTACTCTGAAGAGTGCCCCGTGAGAACAGTTGGAGGCTTCTAACTATTGCACTCTACTGACATTACAGTATTTTCAACCAAGAAGACGCTGTTCGTCCGTATATATCCTATCCATCCATCCACGAGGTTTTCTCGCTTCTAGACGTTCGTAGATTCAAAACATCTACAGAGTACAGTAGCGATCTCTAATTTGGCATCTGGTGTGGGCCGGGAATTAATTGGTGAGAGTGGACTGTGCGCCATCAATTGCCCGTGCGCGGAAGGGAAGTGAACGGACGGGCCTGCTCGCCTAAAGCGAGATTTTGGATGATTCTCTTCGCCGTCCTTGCCATGTTCTGAATCGCCCAAAGGATGGCTTGCTTTTTTTTTTTTTTCTTCCCCGAATGTGAAATGTGCCATATAGACCATATAGCATATTAGCATCCAAAGATAGGCCTACTATGGTACGGAGTACAGTAGCTATTTAAGTTGTGGTTCGTGTCATACATCCATTTTAGCCGAGGCTAAAGCTACGTCTGGCGAAGCATTAGACCAAATGCAATGCGTCAATCATCATCCATCATACAGTAATACTACTAGGTAGGAGGGGCACACTACAAATAGTTAAGCGTGACACACTGACATGACATCAAATGTTTACTCCGTTGAGGTACAGTAGTACTATTAGTGAATTGAGACGTAAACGTGCGACCGTACATTTTCGTTTTCTTTAGTTCTCCAAGCAGGTGAGAGGTGGGAGCATTTACAATGAAAACCACTTCGAGAAGTGGTTTAAAGAAGACAAAATTAGAGTTCACTAAATAGATATCTCATGAGACCGGGGTGTAATATCCATTATCTAATAAAACGTAGGAGGAGTCTATTTAAGGATACTCTGCTCACAAGTCACAGTACAGGTTACTCTTAGTGGGGATCCATAAAAGAATTGCATTTTAACCCTATCAAATTTTTATACTATACCTTGTCTTATTTAAATTTACAATTATGTCTGGCCAAACCTAAAAGGTGAAAAGGGAATTGCATATAGCCCCAACTCACTTTCCCTAAATCTAAGATATGTCCACCCTTCTCCACCGCACCATGCAATCACGTTGTGAAAATTGTTGAATAGTCTCACATTGGTTGTGGAAGAGCATCTGACCTAAGATATAAGTGGGGGAGCCCCTCACCTCAATGGCTAGCTTTTGGGGTGAGAAATGCCCTTTACGATCCTACAATTGGTATCAGAGACTGGCTAGTTCAACATCTCTGGCCCGAGGGACAGTGTGTGTGAAGGCCTGATGGACCGTGAGTGCCTGCAGGGCCCATACACCTGAGGGACCGTGGTGAAACGGTGAAGGGGCAGTGAAGGGCTGAGGGACACTAATGTGTGAAGGGGGAGATTGTTGAATAGTCCCACATTGGTTGTGGAAGGGCATAGGACCTAATATATAAGTGGGGAACTCCTCACCTCAATGGCTAACTTTTGGGGACCCTTTACGATCCTACAATAAGATAAACTAATCTATTTAGTTATTTTAGAGTCGGTTTAGGTTAAAAAATAATTACTATGAATCGACGGTCCAATTGGTGACCTCACCAGGTCAATTCCCGACCCGGCTTTTTCTACTATAGTTTGGGTAGCTGGACCAAACTTTTTGTTCCTGTTTTCTCCCCAAGCCACCCCTGCCTCTACAAGGCTACTAACACCACCGCAAGGACGCTCTCCTCACCTCTATCTTCAATGGCACACTGTGTCCTATGTGGAGCAGCAAGATTGCTCGTCAGTCGTCTCCATAGGGCATGAACAATCAGTGTCCTTGGTGTTGTGCCCCAAGCTACTACCTAGGCTCGAATGCCATGGTGGAGGCAAGGAGGATCCTCATAGGGTGTCAGCAACTCAACGTACCTCACAGGAGACACAATTGCCTCAGGTGAGAGAAAGTGGTTTAGCAGTGAAAAGGGGGAAAAGGAGGAGGGATTGGGTCTAGCCATATGGCGACAGCTTGTTTGAGGGGAACAATAGACCTAGATGCGGCGCAACAATTAGGAGTACCCCGCCACCGTCATCGCTAGAGATCTGGACGACAGCCGTTTGCAATGCTAGACAGCTGGGACAAGCATGGTCAGATCTGTATCTAGCTAGAGGCGATGCTCTCATCGGGGTCTGCGGCGACGTAGCCCGGCCTTGCCATGGATGCAGTCGGCAAGGTCTTGGCCCAATACACACCGACGCCTAACTCATCGACCTGAGTCACCGGTGAATCTAGCGAGAACACCGACGCCCAGCTCTTCGGCCCAAGCCACCATTAGATCTAGCGAGAACGCTGACTTTGCGGCCAGAGCTAGGAAGCTCGGTTGGGGCAGCGGCATCCACGGAGAGGCGTCGACAAGGGGGACATGGCATCGCAAGTGATCATATGGCTCTGACTCGTGGAAGAGACCAGGGCATTGAGAAGTAGGAGAGGACGGAGTCAAGCTTCCAGGAACAGTCAATGACGGTGATGAATCAAGTGTCATCGCGTTGGGGCTCCATCGACTCTGTGATGGTCAAAAGTAAATCAACGTGGGGAAAGCGACGGTTCGATAAGAAAATGGATGGGTGAGAAAATGAACGAGACTAACGGGTAATGTATGGGTGTTTCTATAAGAAATTTTAGGTTGAGAGGGGTTTGGATGCAAAATAAGTAACTAAAGCATAAATAGAGGACTTAAATTTAAATTATTGGGCTGAACTGAATAATTCAATCGTGGGTCCGATGAGACCACCCAGTGTTTGTAACGCCCCGATTTTCGTTCGGGTTTAAAAATCAATTAATAATACATTTTCTAGAAATTAAATAAAAGTTAAATCAATTTATCCAAGTGAAATGTTGGGAGAATTAAAATTTTCCCTTAAAAATCATTGGCCGGGAATATTTTGTAATATTCTTTGTGCCCTAATGTACTCTCCGGAATTTTCCGTGAATTTTCGGAGCTCGAGAAATAGTTTTAATAGCACAAAGGTCATTGCATCAATTTAAATAAAAAGAAAACAAAATAAACTTCCCCTTCCTCCCTTTCGGGCTCGGCCCAAAATCCTCTCTCCTTCCCCTCCCGCGGCCCGGCTTGCCTCCCCTTTTTGGCGCAAGTCTGCTTTTCCTCCCTCCCGGCCTCCCCTCTCACTCAGGCCGACAGGTGGGACCCGTGGACCCCACCTGTCATCCCCAACCTCCGGCCAGCTCCAACCGCCGCCCACGCCGCCCACTCCCTCCGCCGATCCCGCACCTCCCCTCGTCCCAACCGGCGTGGACCCGAGACCCCTTCCACCTCGCGACCACATCCCGCCCCACTCCCCCTCTCTCCCCGCGGGAATCAACGCCACGCCGAGCCGCCACACCCCCACGACGCCGCCCCACTTCCCCTCGAAATCCGCCGCTCCCCGGCCCTCTCCTCGCCCCCTTGAGCTATAAAATCAATCCCCGTGGACTCCTCTTCCTTTTTCCCCGTTTTCCCGAGTCCCCCACGCCCTCTACCGAGCTCTCCACGCCGATCCCCTTCGCCGCCGCTCGCCGGCGATCTCCAGCCGCCCGCCACCGCCGCTCCCGTCGCTGCCGCGCTGCGCCGCCACCACCTATAGCATCACACCACCCCACCGCACCCCGGCATCCACTCCATCTCCCTCCTCCACCGCCGGAACCACCTTCCCATCGCGAGGCCGAGCCACTACCGCCACACACCGCCTTCAGCCGGCCGCTGCCGCTGCGTTAGTCGTCGCCGCACCTCGCCGCTTGCGCCGTCGGCAACGCCGTGCCAAGCTCTACCCCGGCCTCCGCTCCGTTTCCCCATTCCACCACCGCAACCACCCTTCCACCGTGCATCCCGAGCCACCTCCACCATACGCCGCCTCCAGCCGTGTGCCACCGTCGCCTTAGCCGCCGCCGCGTCGCTCCGTCTTCACCTCTCGCCTCGCAGCGCCGTGCAGCACCTCGGTCACCGTTGTTCATCGCCGGAAACCCACCGGAACGTGGTACCTCTCGGTCGCCGGTGAGCCCCACCATTCCTCTCCTCTCTGGCGTGGTATTCTCGCCGCTCCGGTCGCCTATTTCCCTCCCTAACCGCTCCAATAATTTCCCTAGGTCCTGCCGGCCCTCGGCCGCGGCTCCGCCATGGTCGGGCGTCGTCGGACCGCCGTTCCCGTCGCCTCCCGTGTCGGCCGCCGCCATCCTTTCCGCCGCCGGTCGCCTCCCCATGGTCGTCCCGTCGCCGGCGCTCCTCGGTGAGGACCCCCTTCATCTCCTTTCCCTTTCCCCTCTTTTCGTCGCCTCCCGTGCGTGCCGTCGCGCCGGTGGTCGTCGCCGGCGACCATCGGGCCGTGCGCCGTCGCTCCCGGCCGGCCGACCGGTGAGCTGGCTCCCGCTCGCCCGTGGCCGCCCGATCCTCCTTCGGGGCGATCTGGGCCGTCCACGTGGCCTTCCCGTGCCGCCCGCGTCGGTGCCTCTGTGGCGCCACGTCGGCGCCACCTCCGCTAGCCGTCCGTCGTGGCCGCCACGTGTCTGCCACGTGGTGCGCCCGCGGACCAGCGCATG